GGACCCAATTTATCGAAAGGTGGCGCATTTGCAACCCCACGGGTGTTGCAAATGTCCATGGGCGGTGGTTATCACTTAACATCAGGTGAACTTCCAGCTCGTTTGTCACTTTGGCACATGCAAAAAACAAAAAAAAAAGAGTGCATTTAAACTACGAGACAACCGCCGCTGACCCCGGTGCGGAATATCGGATCGAAGAAGCCAAAGTACATTCCCTGACACGTGACGCGCGTAATGTCGCTCAATTTATCGCTGCCGTTGTTTGACCTTCATTAGCAATAGGCAAACGACGCCGGCAATTACTTACATAGTGTACCTTGTTTACAAACGAACGGCAACTGTCTCTAATTAAGCCGGATGCGGATAGATTAAGTCGACTCTCCTTGACTTGTCTTGACTCCCCGCTCGGTTGCGAAGAGCGCATGCGTGTACTATTTTTATGTGAAACGGTGGCAAATGAGCTAATGGTTCACACGATGTTAACCGCCGCCCATTGACATTTGCCATACGCGTATGTATGCAGATGCGTTGCTACCATGTAATAAAGTTGCGTGGTCCATGTACCATAGTACTAACGAAACGGTCGACGCTAATCGGTTGGTTATGAAAAGTAGGTACATATTGGTGTTGGAGTCGAAAACAGCAACAAATTTTTACAGCCATCCAGAGCTACTACATTTTTTTAAAACATTGCCCTTAAGATATCCTGCGTTGTTTTACAAAGATTTTCACGTGGACAAACACCCAGATGCGAAACATCTATCTGTGGGTCACACGAATAGTTGTCCCGTGTGGGGATAGAACCCACGACCGCCGAAGACGAAGCCAATACATTAGCAACTGCGCCACGGAGTTACGCGGCACGGTTTAATTATCTAACAGGGCTATGTTTTTATTGAGACAATGCAGTTGATCAAAACTTTTGCCAATGTCAATGTTATTTCAAAGTGATTGGATTGAACATTGGATGTCATCTACATTTTAAATATTGAGTGATACTTTAAAATGTGAAATTTGTGGGGTGCGGGATTCGATACTTCGTCGTTTGGTATCTTGAAAGCCTCATCTTCAGTGCGAAGAGTTTGCACTAGAAATAAAAATATGTGTAAAAATTTATTTCCTATTGTTGTAAAAAGACAAAAATTTTAAAGAGCTGCCCGTAAACCGTCAAGAGCACATCTGGCCAATGATGGAACAAAACGCACAATTGGTTTCTACAAATCTAAATCGAAGCCTTTTTAGGTAGGACCCTACGAAGTTTATGAATGTATTTTTAGAGATTCGAAGAAAACGGCTTAAAGAAACATTCATAACTATTGTTGATAAAGAAATAACAAGAGTTTTTTCTTCGTGATTTCAAAACTTTCATTATTATCTTAATTCCCAAAGTTCCAAGAAACTTTATACAGATAATGTTGAAAAGATTTAAAAGTGCATTTATGTAACAAATACTCATTGTTCTTGAAACTGTTTATAATAAGTTTCTATTATTAAAATGTTTGTTTCAATGAAAAGAAAATCCTAAGGTTATTAAAATCCTGATTTAAATTAGGTACGACTTACCGTTGTATGTATATACGAAAACATATTTTTGTATTACCTATACATTTTTTACTCAAGTTTTAACTTTAGTTTACCGTATAATGACAGCTGTACCATACATAAATTCGTAAGAATGGAGCATGTATATTTTTACTACAGACTTATGTACAGACTTATGTCGTAGAGACATGGAATAAAAATCACATTTTTTTAAGTTTAATCTTTCCATACCAACTCGCATGTAATGTTACAGTGTGCATAAGGGATCGACCTTAATATATAGGTACTTCAAGGGTGTTTAGCCTTATTAAAATAAATATATCATTAATATAGTCTAATAATGATTTGGAAGTCAAACTCAACGTTTCCCTTCGCTGCGACCGCATGCAGGGTACAAATGCTAGGGATCTATTCTATCTAGATCCGTCCAGAGAACCGTCAAGAAGCTCTGCGATCTTATCATCTCATATTTTTAAATTGGGTTTGAAGAAGGTTGAAAATTATCCCGGCAAACAAGCAATTGGAAACGTGCCCTTGGATTGCTCCCGGTCATTTACAATAGGGGCTGTAGTCTTTCTTGGTCATATCATAGGTCTCCTTTCTAGGAGACAGGGTACAGCCACTTTTGTAAACGTTCGGGACCGATCACAATCAAGTGAGATGTCACGCTTTCCACCTTTATATAAATAAAACTGCACTGTAATACATTAGGAATCCGCCGAAACAATAAAGAACATTACTGACAGAAGGTCACTAGGAGCAACTCCGATAAGTAATCGCATATTGTACGACCTAGACAATGACCGCATCTCCGGAATGCTGTATTGCATCACAGCGATAAATAATTGTTGGATACAAAAAAAAATAAAGGCTATTTATATGTAAAAACGTATACAATTAACATTTGCAAGCTTTTTTACAAAGATTAATAAAATACGACAAAACTTAAGAAGCCGTTATTAATATCAAAAACCCAGTAAATAATAAAATTGGACAACGTGGAGAGGCTCTAGCCAGTATCTCAATTAATTTTTTAATATTCACTGTACGTGCCCCGTTTTTCCATAGTAAAGGTAAATTTGTACATGCATTGTATTTTTAACAAAGTCAATATCTAAGTAATAACATTATCAATAGAATTATTTTTAGCGTTCCGTACCCAAAGGCTAAAACGGAACCCTATTACTAAGACTCCACTGTCGGTCTGTTCGTCTGTCACCAGGCTGTATCTCATGAACCATGGGAATAGACAGTTGATATTTTCACAGCTGTATTTCTGTATTCTGCAGCTATAACTATTAAACTACAAATACTAGAAAACAGAATAAAAATATATTTACATTTAAATATTTTTCTTCTTGAATAATTTACACTACAGGTGGTTCACATGATCTTAAGTTAAATCACCTGTCGGGTAGCAGATATGTTCCTATGATTTAATAAGTGGGCCCCGGCTACCTCACTCGTCAGACGAAACGCAAAAAAAATAATACTTCCTCTTCACACCGGTCTTCTGTGATGCCTGTGAGATAATACTTTAAAAAACGGAGTCAAGTACTTTTCTTAAAAAAACATTGTCCTTATATTAGGATAACATTATCCTGTGTTTTAAGGACGTTTTACATACAGAAATTTCACGCGGACAAACACCCAGATGCGAAACAACTATCTGTGGGTCGCACAAATAGTTGTCTCGTGTGGGAATCGAACCCACGAACCTCGACGCCGAAGCCGATACCTTGGCAACTGCGCCACGGAGTCATCCATCAAGTATAAAGACTAAAATATAATATCATAGGTTTTAAAAAGTTTGTATTATTGCTTTACTTGGATATTTAATAGACTGGTAGTTAGGACATAGAACTCTTTATTTTTATTAAATTATAAAATGTACCTATTCAAAAAGAAAAGAAAAATAGAATTTTTTAAAAACTACCACTTTTTCATAGAACATTGAAATTGCTTATCAAATAATTTACGACAGGAAAACATGTTTGTATTAAATCGCTGCAGAGAGTTACGAGAGAGAACTAATTACGATATTTGTAACTGATGTCATTAAAGTATTTGTGAAACAATCTATTTAGTTAATTCTTAACAAATAGAGTAAATAGCCTTATTGAACTACTTTTTTAAAAAAATAATTATACAATCTTTATTGATCTAATATTTACAAGATTAAATCTATCTAAAATTACATATTATCTAATAAACCTAATCCACGCGGCATGGTGCCAAGGACGCTAGCTGCATTTCCTCGCTGAATTCTGTGAATTATTGCACACTAATTTAAAATACTTGTGAGCATGTTTATGATCGTCTGCACAAAGGCGTGAGATAGTCTAAATACATTTCTTTCCTCTATTAATATTATATTAATGAACAAATTAACGATTTTACAACAAATAAATCATTAAACAATTACTGTACAGACTGACTCTCGCAATATTAGGCAGTACATATTAACATTCCAAAACTGTACCTAAACAAATTGAAGTGTCACTACACACTGCAAACAATGTTAGGATATTATGTTGTATTGATTATTGTCTGTTTTCAAGTTGATGATTCACAAGGTTGGCACTAAAGTTAAGATATAGTTATTGACATACACTAATGTTAGGATATTTTGGACCCTGAGGTTACGTCTTAAAGTCCCATTTGGAACGAAGTAGAATTGAAAAGTTTTTGTAGTGATTTTCATTTGTAAAATGCCTCTACGCTAGGCTTTACATCCATCGAGTCTCAAACTTTGTTGATTAATATGTTAACACCTAATCGGGAACTAATGTATTAATGTATGTAGACACATGTACGTATGTATATATATGCAGGTATTACTCAGAGGTATTACCTCATTATTTTACTATTATTTATATTGAGCCGACAAAAGTGAAAACTTATTTTGGCGCGTTAGACATTTTTTAAATAAACAATTTAGATTCGATGTCATTTAAATATCTCGTGATTACCGCATCAATTGTAATTTTATATCTCCTTGAGCTAATATTGCGTCGAGTGGACATTGTAAAATTAAATTCTCTTTTCAAAAACTCAATTAAGCACAGACTACACTGCGTCTCGTATCGGTGTCGCGAGTCCGGAGATTTTATCTCATCTAAAAATATGCGTACCGCGCTAAAAGAAGTTTTCACCTCAATAAACTATAAAGCTGTTGTGGTACCGTGCTGCATCCGTTAGTCATCGATCGTTAGACGTCGACCCCAGAACCGTCCCGTATCAGCTGTAAACACCGCTAATTGTTTGTAAACAGCTTACGAACGGAGGGCGGGCAGTAGGGGAAAATTTCGCAGGGCCCTGGACTCGTATCGTATCCCCCCCTCGACCAAGGACCCGCGCTGAATTGGCCCGCGCTATATAAGCGGCGGTGATTCCGTATCGGCACCATTCCCCCGGGTTCTCTCATCGCTCGTCAATCCGTCTGCAGCTCGAGAAAAATGGCCAAGTTCGCCGCGATCCTCCTCGCTTCTATTGCCCTGGTAAGTGCCTAGCTCGGCTGGGATATCTGTCATTTGTAGCTTTATCTTTCAATAACATTAAACCTAGTTCGACTCAGTAATTTTTCAATAGCTGTAATATTTCTAAGTGTTAGCGATGAAGAATATTATTTTATGTCTAAATGCATTCTTTTTCTAACTGTAATATTTAACTGGGATAAAATTTGATTTGCGATAGAAATACTACTTTGTAAGTACATACTTACATTAAAAATCGTGGGGACTGTCGATAGCAGTGAAAACTTTAAACTGGAATAACTGGAAATTTTTTAAAAATTTAAATGAATTGTTCAATTAAATTAACAGAACTCTTATTTAAATTGCACATGACCTAGTTTATTTTTGTAAATTTAAACCAATAAATAACAATTTTGAAAGAATTTTTACTAGTAATTTGCTTCATAATGATAAAATATTAGAAAGCCTAATGATATCAACATTTTAACGTCACATAAGCCAATGACAAAACACGTGACATGTGCATGTCGGTTATCGAATAACCGACATGCACATGTCACGTGTTTTTACCTATGGATGGAACCTATGGATTTTTCCCCCATCCAAAAAGGGGTTATAAAAGTAATTTTACAAAAAAAGTAAAAAAATATGTAATTTTAATTAGTCCAACAAAATAATATAGATGTCACACAGCAGCGAATAATAAGAATCGTGTTTAAATCAATCAGAGAGCTATTCAGAGAAGTAATTTATGAAACACCTATTACGTTCAATGAACATCTAATCAAAATTTCAAACTCCCCATTACAGACTCAGGCGCATTTGGTACGGCGCGACGCACCGGCCCCGTCGGCTCTGCAAGACATACAGAAGCACGCAGAGGGCTTCCAGAAGGTGTTCACGGAGCAGCTCAACGCTATCACAACCTCCAAAAACTCCCAGGAAGTGCAGAAAGCTTTCAAAGAGGGCACGGACTCCTTGCTGCAGCAACTGTCGGCCTTCACGGCGAGCCTGCAAAACGCTGTGAGTACACGACTAAGGATGATCTCTTCTGCAGTTATCGAGCCGTTATTGTAAACCATGGAGTTTAGTTTCCAAGATATCCAAAAATTCATAAACACACTTTCGACGATTTGCAACAAATCGCCCTTGCTTTTTCCGAGCACGAATTATCAAACTTACTTTAATCGTTGGGTTACAAAGGTTATCCGAAGTGTTTGGCAAAACTGTATTGGGGATCGTGCAAAATTGCAGAATTATTACTCATATTAACTCAACATTAATATGATAGATTATAATTGGATGTTGTCTTTCGTTTAAAGATTTATTTAAATTAATCCATGTGCAATGGAACATGTTCAACGTCTCATCATACGCGATATTAATTGATTTTAACATTAAAGCAAAAGCAATTATATAAGTGTATATTATATAGAAAGTAATACGGTGTAATTTTTGACGCCGCATAAGAGCTATTATATGCAGGACTTGTGGCAACTAGATTTTTCCCGTTTCCTAAGAGATCAAAATCTTGTCGTTCTAGCCTTCCGCTATATACAACCACGACTAAATACTCCCTCGATCAAGTTCAACCGAGGAACGTCCGCAGAATGTCAACAGCATTTAATCGCTGCTAGCGAATAATGCGAGGGCGTGATTTGAATTCCCTATGCATTTTATGGTCCGACAATTTTGCATTCTAGGCGTGTCCAAATAAAGCTGTCGAACAACAAAGACTCACTATTGTGCTCCAAACGCATTCATCTCTGAATATCCGTTTAATGTCTTCACTGTAATGGATGTTGCTCGATATTGACTAGAGGTCGTTGGGTTATTGTGTAATTGTTTCATTTTATGGCTCAGTTAGACCGTGTCCATCGGATTTTAATTCCCGCCCCAGATGCATGTTTTTCATATTTACTTCTCGAATATGTATAGTTAAAATATCTTCAAGTCGTTTATTATTTACCAGTCAAAGGAATCTCTTCCAGTAAAGGAAAGTATGTATAACCTAAAAAAAATAGTAATAATTTCTTAAACTTGAACGGTAATGGCTGATCCATTACCGTTCAAGTACAATTAGAATTATCACTCTCATCTTGTAAAATCTTTTTCGACTGATGCTTCAAATGTGCACATTGCATGGAATATGAAACAAGAATGGCTCCACAACCGTCAGATGCATGGTAAACCTACCACCATTCGTGGGTCGATAAACTCTAATTACGAAATTTGTTATTAATTATTATTTATCATTATTTATTGTGCGAATAACCCTCGGAGTACTCGATGGCTTAGTTACTAAGCGGGTTCGATTCCCACACAGGACAAGTGTTTATGTGGCACACAGATCATTATTCCGAATCTGGATATTCGTTCCAGTGGAAGTTCAGACGCCGGGCAAACCGGCTGTAAAACCGTTGCCACTTGCCAGTACCTCAAACAAATGACTCCCATGTTATGCCAACCCCACAGAGATGATGGCGTTATGATGTGAACGTGTCAATATTTATGACCAATGCATAATTCGATACTTGAAATAACATACTAAATGAAACTTTTTAACGGATTTTGTAGTGTTTAATTAGATTTTTAAATTCCCGATGTTTCGAACTCTTTCCAGCGTCATGGTCTCGTGTAAAATAATTTCATTAACAATGTTTAATATAAAAACAATAAATCAATATAACATACTAACATCAAAACTTGTTATTATGGCTTCACGTTAATACGTCAAGTCTAATTCTAACAATTGCATCCCAGATGACTGACGCTAACGGCAAGGTGAAGGAAGCGTTGGAGCAGGCGAGAGTGAACGTGCAACGCTCCGCCGAGGAGTTGCGCCAAGCCCACCCCGAGATCGAACAGCAGGCGGTAGCCCTGCGCGACAAGCTGCAAGCCGCCGTCCAAAGCACCGTTCAGGTACAAAGAAAACCTAATTATTCGGCCTGTGAATTACTTGCACGCAACAGTTCCAGTTGACGAACGGGTTGACCGCAAAAGCATTCGCATTACTCAGGACAGATGATACCCGTGAATTCGTCTGCGTATATTTAAAAGCGGCGGTAGACTTCTAAACTTCTAACCTAACAGCGCTACAAGGATCACTTGGCACGTGTTCGAAATCGGAACTAATGCCGCCAAGTTGTAAAACGTCAAAATAGTTGTGAATTGTTCATAAAACGTTAATCACTTAAAATTAAATAATGGGCATGGAATATATGAAGAAATAAATTCAAAATTTAATCAATATCTATCCTGTAGTTTTTCATTTTATTTATTATCTTTTATTTAAATACATAGTATATAAATAATAGCTCATCTTAAATAATTAGTATTTGTTAATAGTAAATTAATTGTTATTATAAAGTTAGCTTACACCATTACGTGCTCATATTGAGGTTAATGGTAAGAAACAGTTTTCGGAACAATGATACCGATGACATCATTCGATAGGCATTACAAGATCTTTTTCTTAACAACGATTTCGTTTACAGGAGACACAAAAGCTGGCCAAGGAGGTAGCCGCCAACGTTGAGGAGACGAACGCCAAACTCGCACCCAAAATCAAAGAAGCTTACGACGACTTCGTGAAACAGGCTCAGCAGGTGCAGAAGAACATACACGAGGCCGCCTCAAAGCAGTGAGGATCCATTCACGTGTTCACAACCCCTGACGCAATAAAACCATAGTTCTAAATACACATTTTTTTTTTCCTTCCTTACACTATAGAAATAGCCGTGTTTATTAAACAATTTTTAAAAGAGTTTAAGTATACATTTTGTTACGTTAAATTTTCATAACATTTATATAAAACGTAAACGTATTTAATTATTTACCTAGTAGAAATTATAAATATATTCTCTAAATTTTGTAAGACTTTTTCAATTAAACTGAGACTGAAATTCCCAGTCGTTATTCGATCCTCTGATTGAACTGGGTCTAAAAACTCAAGTCTTTTAACATATCCAAGTCTAGAAATTTAAATTGTTTATGGTGCTACGCTTCGCGGCCTCGAGCGGATTCAATTCCCACAGCGGCGACAATCTTTCCGTACTTTTTCTAAAAGTTTTAATATCCTAGTCTAGCTCATGCATTTCTGTGAATTCATCATTGACAACTTCTGATTGTAGGAATCCAGCAGTTTTTGATTACGATCAAAATAATGTAGTCGATTCGCCTTCGAAAATCAGTGATAGCTCAGTAAGAGCCGTGATAGCCGAGTATCAGGGCGCACGCCTTTTATTCCAATATGTACAAGCAGCCTGAGATATTTTCAGAATAATAACAAAAAAAAGTATTTCGAAGTTATGTGAAGTCCGCCAATCTGCAATGGTCGCGTGGTGGCCTAAGCCCTGATACCCTCTGTACAGAGGCCGTTGCCCAGCAGTGGGACATGTATAGGCTGATACTTTAGTTTTTTTTACCTTATATAGTGTTCTTAACGGACAGAAATATGAAATGGCAGTTTTGAACAAATAAATAATGCAGACAAAGATTGATATAGGCTTTTTTCACTGTGTTCACACCTGTAATGTCTCATTGCTAAAACAGTTCGAACCCACTTTGGTTTTGAGGCCTCATAAAATATATTGACCCTCGACAAAAGTAAACTATAAAAGTTTAAAGTAGTTAGATAGATGGGGAAAGGTCAATATTTGCCCGAGCTGTAAGGTTAAAGTGAAATGAGACACAAAATTAATGGTCATGATTTATTGTAAAATATAAAACGGTGATACAATAACTGTTGTTTCATAATAACTTGATGTAACACTGCAAGTGGTTTTTAAACGGCATGGAAATCTTCGCCAATTATTGTTTATTAATGGAACATTGTGACCGAATTATCAATTGTAGAAAGCATTATAAGAAATAAAAATGTTATTTAATAACTATTAAAAAAAAAAATGAAATAAAGCGAACTATTACGCATAACCCTTATGCTAAAAATAAAACCGAATAATGGCACACCGCAACGAAAAATATATAATATTGAAATTAAACTCTATAGTTAGGAAAGGGTTCTGAAATTTTCTAAATTGATATATAGTCGCAAAAATGTAAATAAATGTATTTTAAAGTAAAACATGACAAAGATATTTATATAATAACGATGAGAAACATAAAAGCGTTTATTAATTTCATAATGGTGTCCATGAAAATTTACAGAACAATACAGCGATGTGTGAACATAAATCGAGGAACCAAAAAAAAGATGGATGAAGAATAAAATTTTGAAACAGATTGGTGTTTATTGCAGTGTGGGAATTATATTCGGCCAGTAAAAAAACAAAATCAAACCCCCATGATGGACAAATTATAATATATTCGGTAAGCATGAGTCTATAAAAACCTCGACGCTAATAAAACGGTTACATAGTTTATTAGGGTACAGTAGAGTTGGCGAGCCAGCACGCTAGTAATATAAGAGGCGGATGTAATACGCAATACGCCACTGAACCCTTCACAATTTCAACGAGTTCGAGCTTGGCGACCTCAACGCCTGGGGACGGACTGCCAAGCGCCACCGTCAGCGTCGCGCGCTGAAACAAATAAAATTAAATCATTTATTCTTCCATTTAAGAAATACAATTAATATACCGATAGTAATTTAGTATAATAATTCTCGTGTCACAATGTTAATTGCCATACTCCTCCGAAACGGTTTGATCGACTTTTTTTTATTTATATTTGGTAGGTTCAAGTTTTATATTTATATTTGGTAGGTCTAAGAATCGGTAGTATTTTATATACCTCTAAGTGATAAGGGTGGTCCACCCCAAAATTTGTTTCTACTCTACAAATTCCTTAGAAATAATTTATATGTTAAAACAGTGTTTGCTCCGTAGTATGTTTACAATCCTATACATTTTTTTTAGCAAAACACAGATAGTTATAGACAAACGTTTTAAACCTATCAAGTTGTATTTAGTTTCATCATATAATTTACAGATGTTAAAGAATTGATATATAAATCTTACGAGAGTTAAAAAAGTTAAAGAATATTGATTATTATCATATTGATAAAGCTGAAAATGTATGTCCCAGTGCTATATAACACAGACTCTCAATTGATTGAAAATCTGTCGCGTCTAACCGGAAATACTCTACCTCTGAGGCCTACCATTATATAGTTTTTGTGCAACTACAAATGGGATTTATTTCAGAGGATTTACTTCTAACATAGCCTAATATGAATTGTTGTGTATTACGCTATTGGTTATAATTTTTATGTAACTGTTCAATAGATGAATCAAAGTGATATTTTTCCAATGCGTCTAATCTACACATTTTATAATTAAACGCCAACGGTGATAGAAGTGCAAGTAATAAAAATAATATAGGGACCTTTAGTAAAGCTACTCTTTAAGACAAAAGAGACATTAAAATAGAACAATTATCTTTGTTTTAGCATAGTTAATAATAAAGAAAAACAAATTATAACGAAAAAGTAAAACAGAATACAATGTTCAACACTGAAAACTATCATGAAGTAAGTGAGAAATATTTAATTAGTCTATGCATTTGATTATATTATGTATTTAATTTATATTTATATGATTGTATTCCAAATGCAATAGTCACAATTTTAACTAAATTATAATTGGTCATTCTGAGCTATATTCATTATATACCGTTATATTTACTTGGTCACACTAGCGAGTTATTCAAATTAGTGTGGTGTGGTGTGTATGTGTGGGTGTACATGTAAGTGCATGTGTGTGCGCGTGTGGGCTCTTAGTTCTTAAAACTCACGTTTTTCGTCACGACGCGGTGGTGGTGGGCGACGGTCTTTGTCGTCCCTACGGGGTCCATCACTGTAAAAGTCAATTCACACTCACGTAAGAAAGCCCTCGTGCTCTTTAACTCTCTCTTAAACTTAATTTAATACTTAGCTTGCTTAAATATGTAAGCTATTTCATTTAATTTCAAAGCATGCTTGGTTTCTATATCTTAGACCTGTGACCAATGATGTATGTTATTATATACTTTTCTCTAGAACTGAAAGCGAAAATAAGGGATAGATACAAATACTGTTTATTAAAAACAAGGCGTTTGAGGTAGCTTACCGGTCGTCTCTCTTAGGTCCATCTCGGTCATCCCTTCTGGGCCCATCCCGGTCGTCCCTTCTGGGGCCGTCCCGGTCATCCCTTCTGGGTCCTTCCCGGTCATCCCTTCTGGGTCCGTCCCGGTCATCCCTCCTTGGCCCGTCGTCCCTCCGTGGCGGGTAGCGGTCGCGGTCTCTGGGCCCATCCCGGTCTCTGGGTCCGTCTCGGTCTCTGGGACCATCTCGGTCTCGGGTGATCTCACGATCTCTGGGCCCGTCTCGGCGGTCGTCGCGCGGCGGCGCGTCCCTCGCACGCCATGTAGCAGATCGTTCCTGAAGAAATAAGTGAGTGAGATAATTCATTTGTTAACTTACTTACTATAGTTACAAACATTTCAATCCGAAACTTAACTGCACACGCTATAGAGCAGGAGTGGCCAACATACGTGTACGTAAGATCCACTTTTAATCTTTTCAATATACTCGAGTAACCCGAGTTCCATCTCCAGTGCCCAGGCACTAATGAAATTATAAATTTTAAGTGCTGACTTATAGGCGGTTGTTGCATTTGCCTGTTGTTTTCAAAATAATAACAAAAAAAAAAGTATTCCGGATATATGTGAAGTCCGGCAATCCGCAGTGGGGTCGTGTGGTGTTATATTGGCTGTTACTTGACTTTTTTTTTTGGACACAAAAATAATATGTCCTTTTTCGGGAATCGAACCCTGTGGTCGACCTTCAAAACGTAGGAGCTCCGATATGCTACTTACGGTGGGGGCGGGTGGCGGGTCGGCGGGGCCCCGCCGCCAGCTGCCGGTCTCAGGCCCGCTGGACCGGCCGACGTAGGCAGCGCGGGGTCTGTGGGCAAAAGATATACAATAAGACGCTTATCGAGCTTAGGCAGTAAGCAGAATAGTGTTTTGGCGGCAGAAAAAAATTAAATGTATCTTTCTTTTTTTTTTTTTTTTTAAAACATTGCCCTTACTTTAGGATAACACTATCCTGTGTTGTAAGGACGTTTTACGAACATAAATTTGGACACGTGGACAAACACCCAGATGCGAAACAACTATCTCTGGGTCACACAAATAGTTGTCCCATGTGGGAATCGAACCCACGACCCCCGACGCCGAAGCCAATACCTTGGACACTGCGCCACGGAGTCATCAAATATATATTTCAATAATTTATTATATGCACCGTTAGAAGAGCTGGATAGAGATTGAACCTAATTGGTTGTAATGGAATTTGCACCATAATAATTATTTCTCCTGTCCTACGCTACGAACTATGATTTACACTATGTTAACATATGGATATATCGAGAATTTATTTACCACATTTATAAAACTCATTATAGGTATGATAAACAAGTTATTTTTAAAAAGATAATCGTCGTTTACCCAACAATGATAATCGTAATATGATTAGTGATTACATACCACGTTGATTATAGACAATGTTATGCTACATCTGTAGGGTTGATGTTTCTTCAGTCTGTTAAATATAGGTTAATACGCGGGACATTGTCATTAACCATATATGTCATTGTCTTGTATATGAAGTTAAGTATTTTTTAAACAAAAAATTTACCAAACACAATGTGGTACTTTATTTCGTAACTAGCTGCTGCCCGCGACTACGTCTACGTAGAATAGGCTGAAGTCGTAACATTCAGACAGAAAGACAGATTTACATAAAAATATGTATGTATAAATTATAGCCTATGTGTTATTCTCATCTATAAGCTATATTATTGTAAAGTTTAATTAAAATCCATTCAATAGTATTTGCGTGAAAGAGCCTTTTATAACATTAGTAAAGATGTCACTGTTAGTTTATCGTATATTCAATCAAATCAAAAATATATTTATTCAAATAGACGCTTGCGCGCTCTTATGAATCGTCAAATTTTACATCAAAGATTATGTGTATAGGTTCGTAAAGCGTACCACCGGTTCGGAAAGCGGTTTCTGTTGAGAAGAGACCGGCAAGAAACTCAACAGTTGCTCTTTTTCAAAAATATCAGGGTACAATATAATATACAGGTATAATAGTCTTATTCTAGCCTACGTGAGTATCAACAGTATTAACTCCACACATTGGCGTCGTCGAGATATTCCGAAATGGTATAATATGCTTTAATCATCAGTTGATTTTTAATTTTACATTTAAATTGGTCAAGCGGCAGACTTAATATCGACTGTGGGATTTTATTATACATGCTCACACTTTGCCCCATGAACGACTTATTTACTTTTTGTAGACGAAACAATGGCGTAGTAAGTTTGTCCTTATTTCTAGTGTTTATTTTATGTCTGTCACTATTCTTTAGGTAATAATTAAGGTTATGACGTATATTCAAAACATTACAATAAATGTATTGAGAAGCAACAGTGAGTATATTAACCTCTTTGAAAAGATCTCTGAGTGAATTCTGGGCTCCAATATTGTAGATTGCTCGGACAGCTCTTTTTTGAAGAATAAATATAGAATTTATATCTGACCCCACAACAAAATGCCGTACGACAAGATGCTGTGAAAATAACTAAAGTAAACAAGTCTGGCACTGTCGATGTCTGTTAGCTGCCTAACCCTTCTAATCGCAAAAACTGCGGAGCTCAGCCTATTCGCAGCCTATATCTACTGTAATTCCCAGAAATACAGCAGACTCAACTTGATTAATAAAACTAAAACTTTTCCTTCTTGTACTGGGAAGGGTAAAAAGAATACATCTGGTTTTTTTGGCATTTAATACCATATTATTAATAGTAAACCAGTGGAGGATATGTGAAAGTGCACTATTCACATCGTCATCATTTAATACGTTTCGGTCAACTTTAAAAATAAGCGATATATCATCAGCAAACAGTACAACATCACACAGCCCACTGGCATAAAAGGGGAGATCATTAATATATACTAAAAATAATAATGGGCCCAAGATTGATCCTTGTGGGACTCCCATTTTCTTCTGGGACCCAGCGGAATTAACATCATTTATAGATACCTTTTGAATTCTAAGGTAAGAGGCAATGAGATTGAGGGCAATGCCACGAATGCCATAATATTCTAGCTTTTGAAGGAGAGTTTTATGGTCTACGCAGTCGAAGGCTTTTGAAAGATCACAAAAGACACCGATTGCATCTTGTGACCTTTCCCAGGCGTTATAAATATGTTTGACAAGTGCGACGCCCGCATCTGTTGTCGATCTGCCTTTAGTGAATCCATATTGCTCATCGTGAAAGATTTTGTTCACATTAAAATGAACTAAAAGTTGATTTAATATTAGCTTTTCAAAAAATTTACTAAGAGATGGCAATATGGAAATAGGTCTATAATAGCCTGGATCATTATTATCACCACTTTTGTAGACAGGTATTATCTTACTAAATTTCATAAGATCTGGAAATATTTCAGAATCTATGCAGTTGTTAAAAATAGAAGCCAAATGTGGTGCAATATATGGCATTATTGTGCTCATTAATTTTATGGACATACCCCATAAATCCTCTGTATTTTTAAGATTAATAGAATCCAAAACTTTTATAATATCATAAGTATCTACGTGATTAAATTTAAATGTGTGTAGACAAGGGGTAACATTATTTCTTTAAAACATTAATTGCGTCTGCGGGAGATGATTTTAATGTACGTGTGACATTAACCGCAATGTCTAAAAAATAGCTTTCGAAACTACTCGCAATTTCGTTATCTGATATTATGGGAGTATTACCTATAACTAATAAGTTTTATAGGTTCCCTGAATATCTTGGTTCTTCCAGATATACGGGTAATGATGTCCCATGTGGCTTTAGTTCTATTGTTTGAATTTATTATGCTATTTCTTATATAAATAGATTTTGCCTGAACACAGACTTTTTTAAATATTTTTGAAAATGTTTGTACCCGTTTAAGGAAGTTAGGATCCTGATTCCACTGCCTCATACTATATAATTCATACAATGAATCCCTACTTTTGTATATACCCACTGTTTTTTAACTGTAATTTTAATTTTGAATTCTTAACAATTGTGCGCGATTTAAAAGTATCATTATAAGAAGATATGAGAAAGTCAACCATTGATCTATAAGAATCATTAGGGTTATTGACTCCTATATCTTTATTTAACATATGATGTGCCACTTTATCTCTAAAAGCATTTATTCTATTAGTAGTGACTAGTCTACACTTGATCTTAAGTTTGCTTGTATTAGCTTTTTCATTTATTGAAAATTTTAGCCCAAAGTGATCCGAGCTCAAATGATTTATAACATATTTATCATATACATCATTGTGACAGAATACATTATCTATACATGAGGAGGATAAGTTAGTAACACGAGTTGGTTCATGAAAAAGATTTTTAAGTCCAAATGAGTTAAATAAATTTAAAAGTCGTTTACTGAGTTGTGTTACTTGTAATAAATCCACATTAAAATCTCCACAAACTATTAATGATTTACTACTTGAACATAGTTTTTTAAGAACATCATCCATTACGCACTCAAACTGATCGAAATCACCTGAGGGGGCCGGTATACGCATACTATAATATACTGTTGACTCTCAACGCAGGATAATTCAATAGAACGTTCGACAGAGTGTGCCACTATATCCTGTCGATTTTTACAGACTTTATCAGTTCTAACTAATACAAGAGAGCCACCGCGAATAGCATTTACTCTTACGAACGAACTTAACAATTTATAATTTTCTATATTAACAATATAACAGTGCTTATGTAACCATGTCTCTGTGAAGCAGATGACATGTATATTAAATTTCCTAAGGAACAATTCAATTTCGGGTTCTTTGCCGCCTAAGCCTTGTATATTTTGATGCACAATATTTAATTTAAGTGGCCTAGGCGTTGTCTCAATGTTTAGTTTAAACTAACATTGTTTGCTGAAAGATTATTACATAATAAAATATTCTTAGTTGTACTATGTACAACTGGGTTTTGTATATTATACATACATTTGACAAACAGTAACAAGAGGTTGGAGAACAAAATGGCGGTGGACAGTGGGGTGTGGTGAGTTACCTCTCGTCGCGCGGTGGCAGACGGTCGTCCTTGGGCGGTGGGCCCCTGTCGTCGCGTGGCAGCCGCCGCTCTGGAGAACGGGGACGCTCATCGCGGCTGGCGGGCGGGGCACGTCCGCCTGGAAACACGAATAATAACAAATATTAGTAATTGGCGACTCGTCCCGGTGCAATGTATGATACATATAAACCTTCCTCTTGAATCACTCCATCTAATAAAAAAACCGCATCAAAATCTAGTTGCCTAGTTTTTAAGATCTAAGCATATAGAGAGCAAATACTGCTGTTGCACGAATGGGCAGACTCAAAGCAGACCAAGCCTCAAAAAAGGCTAGTTTTTGTGAAGGGGTATTATTCTTTCGCGTTTCGTCTGGTGCGTGAGGTAACTGAAGTAAGGAAATCCGTTTTTTTTTCTTTTAAAAACATTGCCCTTACTTTAGGATAATATAATTCTGTGAATATTCTGTGAAATTTCACGCGGACAAACACCCAGATACGAAACAACTATCTGTGGGTCACACAAATAGTTGTCCCGTGTGGGGATCGAACCCACGACCGCCGACGCCGAAGCCAATACCTTGGCAACTGCGGGACGGAGTCATCAAATCTTAATGCATGTCAGTTTTTTTTTGTCTTTCACTCCTGCTAAGTTACTATTGCGTTTAGTCTCACTCACCGGAGCGCCATCCGTCGTCTCTACGCCAACTGCTACCGGTGGCGGATTTCGGCTCGTCCAACTTGCGCGGTGGTTCGACTGGTTCCTTCGGACGTACCTTCTCCACTTCCCTATTGAGACACAAAGATCACGTTACATCGAATATGGTACGGCCGTTAAATAATGATAATGCATCTACAACCCTATGATGGCATTGAAAGATGGCAACACATCCGCAACCCTATTAGTGTTGCAAATGTTCATGGGCGATTATCAAATAACATTGGGTGTTCCATCAGCATGCTTGCCATCTTCTTACCTACGAAAACGCTGTGATGGACTCAATGCAGGAATACAATGCTTACAAAATTTCATTGAAAATGTATTTAGAGATAAAAAATTTGGTTATATTTTCATTGCTACTGCCACTAGCCTGTCGTGATGATATAGACATTATTAATATAAATTGGTGCTCATTAAAAATTAAAGAGATATGAGTATGAATTATATTTTTATATAGTTTAAAATTAAGGGTGTGTTTAGTTAAAAGTTATATATAAGACAATAAAGTGATTTATATTGATTTTTATTTATTTATTTTTAGACTGGACCAGTTGATAACATGCTGCTCACTAGGTTTGTGTCATGTATTGTTTGTGAAGATGTTAAATAATTCAGCTTTTCAAATCAATTCATAAAATATTGATTGAAAAATAGTTTTTTGTTTACATGTCATTAGTAAATAACACATTATTTATAATAATTTACAATCACTTTTCAAATTGCATAAATAATGTAATAAATAAGAGTTGAAGTAAAACAAAAATTCCTGCTCATCACTAAAGGAGTTGATAATAAATAGAAAAAGTGGTACTAACTTTTCTTCTTCCTTGGGCAATGGGGCACGCTCTGCTTTCCTATCAGGGGTACGCGGACGATCTTCACGTCGACCTTTATTTCCAAAAATATTGGTTATAATAAGACAATTAACAAATATGAATGAAAGAATCAAAGATGAAACACTCATCACATAGGCTAAAATAAGACTTATCATCATCATCATCATCATCATCATCATCATCAGCCGCAAGACGTCCACTGTTGAACATAGGCCTCCCCCTTAGAACGCCACTATAATAAGACTTATACCACTATTAAAATATAAATTAATAATAACTTTTCAAAAAAGAGCAACTGTTGAGTTTCTTGTTGGTTTCTTTCTGAACCTGCATTCCAAACCAGTGGTAACTTACTTACGAACAGTTTTTTGTAAAACTTGGACTGAGTTTGAGTTATGGTTGCATGTTCCTTGTGCTGCTCAAACATGTGTTTTGCCATAAAATTAAGGAGCATTGCCAGCCTTAAAACTTCAAAATATTGTTACTTACAACACAATTTTTTTATCAGTGATTGTGTTCGGATATAGTATCCGAAACGTTGCGACCTTTGGGGTCAAGACAATTTGCAATTCCTCTAATCTAGCACTATATTTCTTTTATAATAAGCAGTCACAGTATGTCTCAAGCATCATCTCATCCTGCGGTTCTACAATTTCATAGAATTACCTGAACACAATTCATCATACCACTACACATTATACTAATGCCCAGCAGTAATATGCTAACTAGAAATAAACTGCTAATATTTTCATTACCGATCTGGTCTCTAACAGATCAACAGTATTTCTTTTCACACTGTAATGGGAACATCAAAGAATTCTGGACAAAAGCACAAACGTGGGGGCAATGACCTCACCCCTGCAATTCCTTAAACAGGCCTTAAGATATGGCCTACAAGTTAATGTAGGCCTGTGACCCACCTGCACCGCGCCATGCTGACTCCTCCCCACGACGCCAGCTGGACGTGGCGCCTGCTTTCTGCTCCTCCAGCTTGCGGGCTCTTGCACGTGCCAGTGTTTCCTGGTGTTCCCTAAAAGCACAATTGCGCATGTTTCTTAGACATAAATGAATACTTATAATAAATACTTTATTAGAGAATAATATTGATTGGAAAGTCTCATCATACTTCATTTATTATATTCTCAGTAACAAATAATCACATACATTTAAACATGTCATGGTCATATATTTCATCATACACTATCATTTGGGAACATTCTAAAATATTACTGGTTCAGTTTATACAGCTAAGGCATTTCCACACTATTGTATTCATAAAGAAAATATTATTATTATATTTGGAAATCTCCTTCGTAAGTCGTATTTTCCTAAGAAAAAATAAATAAATTAAACTCACTTCTCTTGGCGCTCTTTGCGCTCTCGGAGAGCGGCCAACTCCTCCTGGTGACGACGCTCGCGTTCCTCCTTCTCTCGCTTCTCCTCCTCTTCTTTGAGGCGGCGTGCTTCTTCGGCTGCGCGTTCTTCCGCGCGATGTTTCTCGGCCAGCCACTGCAATGTTAAATGTCCAAACATTATAGACACCCTGAATACTATGCCGTATCTTTTGTATATCTGGTGATGTTTTGTAAAGCTTAATTTTATGTTTGTCAGTATATATCCGTTTCAATTAATGAGATGGGACGGGACGAATAGAGGTGGTGAGAAAGGCATTGGTGTTTATTGTTCAATCGCATGAATAGGATGAATCGTCGCTTAGAAGTGCGAGTGAAGAACTATAATGTTAAAACACTTAAGAGAGAAGCGCTTCTCTTACTTTCTCTTCGCGACAATTGCTCGTATGATTACCATGCCCTCGGTACCGTAAGTGAAGCGTAACATTCAAGTACAGGGAAAGCAAGGCAGAAATAGACAGAGGTTCGACTGAAAATGGCAGCCAACTTGTTATGAATGCACATACTGTTCATACCGTTTTTTTATCTTTAAGTGTCTAGATGAAGGTGAGAGAGAGAGAGAAAGAGAGAGAAGAAAAAGAGGAGTGGAGAGAAAGAGAAAGGGTGAGAGAGAGGGAAAGAGGGAGAGAGAGGGAGGACGCACCTCCTGCCTGCGGCGCTCGACGCGTTGCGCGCGGCGCTGGGCCAGGCGCGCCTCTCGCTCAGCGGCGAGCTTCTGCTGGAAGTCGGCGAGCCGCTTGACGTGCGCTGCACCACGCTCGCTGCGCAACCGCGCCGTGAACTGCTCGCGGTGCGCCGCCATACGCGCCAAACGGGCCGAAGTGGCAACGTCGCGCGCCCTCGCCTCTGCGCGGTATAATGGTAAGTCAGGTTAGATGCGACACAATAGCTTCCTCTTAGGTTTATAGTGAAGAAGAACAATAACTCACCAATGAGCTGTTGGATACGTTCCTTCTCCTGCTGTTCCCAGAACGCCTTATCCTGCACCTGCTTCTCTTCTAAACTCTTCTGGAGCAATGGGATTTCCTCCAAGCGCTTAGCTCTTTCGAAATAGTCCACCTAAATCAATCAAAACAACTAATTAAAAATATATAATTATATAAAATAAAACGTTAGTTATAAATGACTTAATATCATAGAAATACTTTCTTTTTAATTTTCAACAGGTATAAATATTGTACCTTCTTCTCCTGCGATTTCAAACGGGCTTGAAGCTCCCTGCGCTCTTTCATTAGCTCCTCTGCCTCGCGTTGTGCGATTGCCTCTGCGTCCATTTTTTTCAAATCCTTAATAATGAGAATTCTATTAAAAAATGTATAATAGCAATCATACACTACTAATTAAAACTAGTAAATATAATATGATACCCATAAAACACTCTTATTGAACATTATGTATCTTAAACTATTTGAGTAAATAATTTGTAATACGTCGCTTAATTTATACTCTGATTTCCTATATGCAGGACCCAATAAGTTTTTTAATTAGTAGACATCTGCGTCTATCTTTATTGGTGTCTGATAATTAGGATATTATTTTTTTTGTAAAGTGAACGCGACTACAAAAACTAGAGCGTTTATTTGCTTGGACAGCATTTTTATTTTATTTTTTCAGATGACCCACTTAATTGAAAGGTGGCAACGCATTTTTAACCCTATGGATAGTGGTGAACTATTGCAAATGTCCAACTACATCTGAAATTGAAAAAAAAAAAAACCAAGATGATATCATAAATGAGATGTGCAATTCAACTTGAGGGAACCGTTTCCAGTATTCCAGTATTTGAGATGCTCACCTCTTCGTCGAGCTTCTGCAGAACTTTCTTGCCGTGCATGGTCTGCGAGATGTGGGCGATGCGTTCGCGCAGATGTCTCTCGCGCATGGCCGCCATCTCGGAGGCGTGGCGACGCTTCTCGCGCTCTTCGCGCTCCGCCTCCTGCCGCCTCGCTTCGGCAGCGGCGGCGGCGCGCAATTGCTCCTCTTGACGGCTGCACGGCAGAGAGAAACGTCAGATATTATATTTATCATTCATACTAATATTATAAATGCGAAAGTACCTCTGTCTGTCTGTCTCGCTTTCCCTCCAAAACTAATAAAGCAAAATTCCAAATTTAAATGAAATTTGGTACACAGATCTCAGAAAGTCTAGAGCCTGACAAAGGTTTTTAATACGAAAAAGTATTGTTAAAAGCTTCAACGTGAGCAAAGCCGTGGGCGAAAAGCTAGTATATTTTAGTCATCATCATCCTACCTTATCCCATCTAGGTGGGGTAGGCATAAACCTGTGAATCAAAACTCTTTTGATTCACAGGTTTGATTTTTTTTGAATGGTCGGAAGAAATATATCTATATTTTTGATTTTATATGCCGATATATTTGGATCCGATATATCGATATAAAATATTCAAAATCGTATCCAAAACAATATTTTTTTAATTTCGAACCTGGCACAGAGTCCTTAGGTGTCAAATATTTAATACTTGATGGAACTGTTTTTTGGACGACGGAATTTCTAAGACCTAAGGAGAAAATGTCGACATATCGATGTTGGACACTTTTTCTTGATATACGGGGGCCGATATTGATATTTTTACAATTATAAATGCCCTACACCACGGTTGGCCCTAGCCTCCCTCACCGTAGCTCCTCCTCCTCGCGAACTGTGTTCAGCCGCTCGATGTACTCCTTGCGCTCCTCGATGATCTTGTGCCGTTGCAGCACGCGGTGGTGCTCCGCGTGCTTGTTCTCGTGGTAGTGCTGCACCATGGTGGCGCGCGAGCGCTCGCGCTCCGCCCTCCGCCGCTCCGGGAACAGCTCGTGGACGGCGCGCGAGAGCACCTCGGCGGCGCGAACTAGCTGCTCGCGCATCTGCAACGGGACGTTCTATTTGGTGCCAGCCACCGATTAGCTAAAAACACAGTCGACGGCCATCGGGGTCTCGGTCTGCACCGCAACTTCAATGGCCCTTAGATGACATGTCGTAGTTAAACGCACGCATGAGCACATGCGCGGGCCTACCCACAGCGGAGGGCCCAAACCCGTGGGTTCTGGCTAGCCCACCGGTTCTGCGACAGATGAAGCTGTAATAGTCTCGGGACTGAAAGCAAAAACACCAGTTAATACAAGACACAAGATTTTTGGTGTTCGGTGCGGAATGTAATTAAGCTATTACAATGTTTTGTACACATTTTTTTTTTATTAAAAATTTTAGTTTTCAATTTACAATTATTAGTGTTAACAAAGTAGCTTTACGCTAATCAGAGATAAATTGTAAATATTAATTGTCATATGGCAACTTGTGATTAATGGCCGGTTTCGATATTCAATCTACAGATAGATTTGGTTACTAGCGATAGGTAACCAAATCCATACTATTTATATCAAGATTCTATCTACAGTAACCAAATATATCTGTCTCTGATTGAATATTGAATATGGGCGTTTACTTCTATCATGTATCAATTTATACGATAGATTGCTGCACGCGCATTTCTTATTCCTTTGACATGCTGGGTTTTTCCACAATTATTAATGTCTACAATGCTGAAGTAAAATGGCACTAAACATAACAACATAGAAGTTATGTTACAAATTAAAATAGAATTTTCTATAATAATTACGTGAACCGCATTATCAGCGAAAATTCGAGAATAGTTTCTATCAAACCATGAATATACCTGCTCGGCGGGTGTCGCCTGTAATATGGCCCCACCGCAGGCCTCATCGGCAGCGGAACACCATTCGCCACCGCCCGATTCCACTCCGAAGTGTACGCATCTGTTAAAAATAATACTTGTTAAGACTGCACACCAAATACCTGGACTTAAGTCAATTAGTATAAAAGTTCCTAAAGATGATGTTGAAAAAGATGTTGGCTAGGAATCTTTGGAAACAAATATCAGGCCACTGTATGAAAGCTATATAGCTGTTTTTAATTTAAAACAATAATACAAACTTGTCAACAATGATATTGATAAGCAATATACCAATAACTCCAGCAGTTTTGCAGATGCCAAGGGAGATATTTTACCATCACATGAAGTTCTTGCATGGTTGCAGCTATTGGCGATAATAGCTTATTGTCCAGGCGCTTGATGTTACATACATCGAGCGCCCGGACAAAATCAATATACTTGAACAACCTGAGTTCAATCTCCGGCAGTATACCAGCACCAATAAAATTGTTAATATTAAGTGCTGATATATCACATGCTCAGCGGTGAAGGAAGACATTGTATGACAACCTGCATATTTTCGAAATAATGACAAAAAAAAAAACATTTCGAAGACATGTGAAGTCCGCCAATACACTCTGGACAGTGGAGGCATTTGGCCAGCAGTACTAAGCTATTAATTTACTTTACTCACTGGTTGGCATGGTCGATCCGTATCTGCATGTCGTTGTGGCGGACGCAGTCGACCAGCAGGCGCTCAAGATGGAACAGGTCATCGGTGTGCGCCAGCTCGAGGAGACGCGAGAATTGCACACAGGAGTAGCATTGCGCGACCTGACGCACCAAACGCACAAGCGCCACGTCCGTCAACGCCACCGTGTATTGAGCGAGGGATGAGTCTGAAAAGTGAAAGCGGAATATTTTTTTGTATGTTTATATATTGTCATGTGAAAAAAAAGGTGTTAATAATACCCATGACCCCCTACTGCCGCCATGGTTATAACTTTGTTATAACGGTGGAAAACAAAAAATAAACCCACGACCCCCAGCGCTGAAGCCAATACCTTGGCAACTGCCTCAAGGAGTCATCAAGTGGAATTTAGTACAACAGAATATGTCAGTATGATACAAAAAGGGCAAAATGTGAAAGAAATTTTATTTAATAAATTTTGTTTTTGGGGTTTGGCATTTGGTACCACACAAAATAATATATGTTCAAATTCACTTTATAAAATAACATTACAAAAACTGGCTATTTTAAACTACTGACTATTTTAAAAAGATATCAATATAACTCAAGACATTTTTATATTGCATGCAACTAGGTTTTGAATACTAATGTAATGTAGGTGTCCCATAGGCAGCAAACTTACTGAAATGGTTTGTTTACCAAATGGTTGAATATTTTATTGAGCTAGTAATATTTTCTTTCTTTTTTGTTTTTGTGAGGAAGTGGCAAACGAGTTGGCGGTTCACCTGATGTTAAGTGATAACCGCCTGCCCATGGACATTTGCAACACTCGTAGGGTTGCAGATGCGTTGCCACCTCTTAATAATGTGGGCCCCGGCTACCTCACTCACCAGACGAAACGCAGAAGTGCAACACTTCTACTTTACGCCGGTCTTCTCTACCGGGGTCGTGGTACTAACCCGGACGGACCTGCCCATTCGTGCAACAGCGAACACTGTTGCGTGGCCCTACCACCGTTAATATTTATGTAGAAACAAGAAATCACATGTTCTTTACATATTCTTTGAATGGTACTCACTAGGTTCTTCTTGCAGCATTTTGACAGTGCTCTGCACGTTGGCGCAGATAGTTAGTGGGTCAAATTCAACCTCCAGCCACGAGTACAGCTGCTGGAGTTGCGGCGATGCCAGATTTACCACGTTCAGACGTATCACATCTGGGATGGCAATATGTTGGGTTTTTTAAGTCATGACACTCACGGTTAAAGGAAACTGGAGAGGAAAGCTAGGTTCATGTTATTTCCTTTGCTACTTCTCATTTATGTTTTGTCTAGCATAATTCTTCATCAAACATAATTATTCCAACATTATTTAACACTTATTTTTACCACTATTGACTAAATATAGGTATAGATAGTTATTGATTACATAGAGTTGTTTAAAAGTTTCTTATAGCAAATGAAAAATAATACCATATATTGACAGTTAGTTTCAACTAAAGATAGCGAAGTAGACTGAAAGTTTTGATAAATACTTATTCACACATTACTGTGGTACAAAAAGTTCTCATGGGTCAATCAGTAATTATATTTAAATAAATGCAATTCACTTGAAATCAGATTAAATTTGTACAAGAGTTTACTAACACAGGTAGCCAATAGTTAGGTCAAACCTGTCGCGTCTAACTTGCATCTTGATTTACCTCTGAGGCCTACCACTTGTTGACTACAGTCAGTCAGAAATGGGATTTAATTCAGAGGAGTATTAAAAAGTAACACAACCACTAATTAAGTGAAGGGACACAGACTTTTATCGTTTACCTTTCAATAAGCTAGCTCTAGTTGGCGGCTGAGCGAGCCCAAGCAGAACTGCCAATCGCTGCGCCTTCTCAACAGGACTCTTGTCGGTCTCAACAAAACGATCAAACTCAGGATGCAGCGACGGTAAAGGTACCGATAATACCGCCACCAGTACACGACAGGCCATTCTGTGTGAAAGAAAAAAATACAAATATAATTATTTCCTACTTTATGAAACTTATAATTCACACATTTTATATAATACATTATCCAAGTTCATGTCCTTTATAATTATGTTCATAACTACAAACATAAGTCAAAAATTTTATAATATTTCTACATGTCATATAATGTTTGTACAGGCATAAATTAACACAGTAAGATAACATTATTTTGTGTTGTAGGATACCAGATTTAAAAAAAATTTGATGTGTCACACAAAAGCTTGCCCTGGGTGATTAGAAAAAGTAATTGTCATATAGGATTCCAATTTAATTTATATTCATACAGCACTTTGTTTTAGAAATTTTTAAAAAGATTGATGTTATCTTTCTTAATATCATCTTTAGAAGAGCATTTACCATGTATAGTTCAAAAGCTTTCAAAAATATATGTAATCTAATCACGAAACCATTATATTGAATGGACAGAACCTTGTCTGAGATTGCAAGATGATATACAGCAAATCTATCATAGCTTACTTCTGTAATTCCTCTTGAGTGATATTCTTCTTCATTTCTCTGGACAGTTGGAACAGCTTGAGTAGTGCAGCAGCATGGAAGAGGCAGTGCCCGGCCTTCCAAAACACTAAAGCAAGCTTGCCATAATAATTGGCCATAGTTTTTGCAACTGGAGTCTTTTTGGACATGTTCATCAGGTTGTGAATATCTTCTATTGCTTTGTAGGCTTCCTATAGAAAATAGTGACAGTTATTTCACAAGCACAGATTGGCAATATCAGTTAATTTATTAAGTACCTGCTCACATATTAATAATATTGAAATAATATACAGGGAAGCTTTTCTAAATGTATCCACTTTTAGACATAAATAATGATATACAAAAAATTATAAATATTTTAAATCACTTGTAAGTAATCAATTACATTCATTTGAATTTACCTCAAAAAGTTCGTGATTTATATGCAACTCATTTATTTTTTGCGCGACCATTCATAACTAACACGCACGCAAGTTAGTTTGTGTGCGTGAAAAATAAAATTTTATTTAGGTATTTATGAATGACTACCGCATTGTCAACAAGTTCTAAGTGTTTTTTAGGAAATAGAATGGTGATTTAAAAAAAAAGTTTGTTTTTATTTCAATAAACGATTATACTACCAAGTTTGAATCTCCTGTGCAAATTTGGGCACCTTTAAAAAGTCTCCCTGTATACACTGCATTTTTCTTTTCCTATTGTAATACTGTTTAATCTAAGAATTATGTGCAGAACTTACCTGCCATAACTCCATTTGTATGGCACTATCAAGCTGGAACAGTCTGGTCTCCAAGTTTAGTTGTTGGGTCTCAGGTTTTGAGATGCTCACATTGCCTGTTTGGACCTATCACAAAAGAGAAATGAATGAAATACAGTATGGATAATCAACAGTTATTAATAAATGCAACCAATGTTACTTACAGTGGGCTTACAAATGTCTTCTAGATGTTTCCTCAACTTATCACATAATTTTCGGAATTCAGTTTTGCGTGAGTATTTCAGGCAAAACTGGAAGGCCATCCTGGCTATATCATGGTACAAGGTCTCCACATGTGCATTGGTACGGAGTAACTCCAGGCATTGGCAATATGATTCCCAAAGAAATTTCACCTATAACAGATCATAACATTGTGATACAAGTTAGTTTTATTTTATTTTTACGCAAATTGTCTATTTGGCTATGATTTGAGAAGAGTGTTGTTTGAAACTGTCGCCCAGTTACTGAAACACTGATCAACGTAGAAATCAGCTTTCTTGTTGCCTTTTGGTAACTTTGGTAACTCAAACGACATTTGAAAAGCCTTTTCACAGCTGATTAGTTAATTTCTATGATGATCAGTGTTTCAAAATCCAGGCACTAATATTGCAATTTAATTTACCCATGGTGTAAGTATAGTTCGGTCAGAGCGATCCTGCGCATCTTCTCCAGATACAGCACTTAAGAGGATGCTTTCTGGTGTAGCCAAGTTATCAAGGTCGTCCGTATCAATGACAGCTTGCGTGGACTGAGCTCTGGCTGCTTCTGTGCGTTCTTCCGCCATACGCAAGTACCCTCTGTATAAGAAACATTGTATCATTTTACCAGACACAATGTTATAAACTGTACTTTCTAACTGGTATCCCCACCCAAAGGTAATTAATTCTATGGATTTGTGAACAGAAATACATACCTTATAACTTGCTCCAATGAACCTACGTTGACTGATTGAAACATATTCCTATACTGGAACAGACCTTCTTTAGCAATATGCGACTTCCGAAGGTCGACGCAGAGTTCCAAGTATTTGAACATAATCGGTTCCAGGACCGATTCTGACCAGTTGTATGCCCATTTCTTATTACGAAATACTTCCTGTAGAGTATCCAAAGCCCGGGCCGGCTTGTCAAGGTCCATAAATTCTGTAGACGTAACAAAACATATTGTTAGTTATGTTACATTGAATATAAGAATTTTGGAGATCTTTTAAATTTATCAACAACAAATAAAATAAACACAATACAGGCATTATATAACGTAGTAAACCAAAAAATAAAATATTTATCATATTAAATTAAATAAGTACAGCGCGTAACACGCAACGTGGTATGATATGGGAAATCTGTACACACCATTGGCCCGCTTTAGGGCATTTTCCGGTCTTTGACCGTATCGCGCCATCATTGAGGTAGCTCTAATTACTTCATTAACGAACTGTTAGACCCTTAAAATTTGGTGAAGACGAAACTGCTGAAATTATCTTCTAACCACAACTCTGACAAGCGACGACGCAGGACGAATCAAAATGGCGCCTGTCGAGTGTGGACCAGGCACAGGGGGAGGGGTCTCATGGGTCTCACTTTTGGACTTTTGCCCATTTCTGGATTGCCAGATATAAAATTCCCTACATAGAGAAAAGGGATTTTTTTCAAATATAGAAATGAGGAGTTCGGTGGAAGAGTCAGAGGAACAATCGATCGATGGAACGCAGGCTCGCTTTTAAATAACAAGTAACATTATCACAACGTAAGCGACTAAAAAATGGCCGGGCATATACGAAATTCATCATCATCATCATCCTCTTACCCTTATCCCACCTAAGTAGGCTCGGCACAACAAATTATGTTGTAAATGGTTTTGGCTATATTTTTCTCAAGCGGCCGCGACCCTGCAAACCCACGAATCCCCACCGCTGGAGTCAATAGCTTAGCAACGGCACCGCTGAGTCATCGGTGAGCATATACGAATATATCGTGTGTATTAGACACTTGAAACACAGACTCACGTATATCTTAGTGAAAATTATACATGCTTTCTATAAATGAAATTAGTCTTATTGTCACAACAGGGATTGTATGGCAGGGAGACAAGTACAGAAGAAACAAAAATATGTTACTTAAAATACCAAATGAAATACCATACTTAACAAGCGAGCTCTGAATCGCACTAAACATCAAAAAACTATTTAGACTTCGGTCCCGCAATAGATGGAGTGACGACCTGTGCAATTGTGCTGGAGGTCGACGGGTGCAAGTGGCCAAAGACTACTATTGTATACTGGAAATAGACAGGCAACTCGTTTTTTTGCTGTCAAACATGCGCCTCCTGGTATTCAAATGCGGAACTAAATTTGATAAATATACCTAACTATAGCTACATATTGCTAGCTAAGGAAAGTAGTTACTAGGTATTAAAAATTTTAATAAGTTCGATTTACCACAAAAATTGGACATGTAATACGTCAAATATATTTAATATATTTGACGTATTACACGTCCAATTTTTAACAATCAATATATATATAATAATTTTAAACTGAATTAATTTATTTACAAGTTCCCATAACAATTAAAAATCTGTGACATTTATTTATATTTGACTTTAATACTAAAGTACCTGATACAAAAATAAATGAATAAATAAAAAGATGTTGAATCATTTTAAGCAGTTTATTTCAATAATTAATTAAGACATAATTCAGTTACATGTCTGTCTTAATTTACAAACATAGACTCCTATCATTTCTCAACAAACCATAAGTTTTTATTACATTTTGAAGTTTTAATTAACTAAACTTTTATCAATATTTCTTTTTATCTTTTTCTTTTCCTCTCTTTATTTTTCAAAAAATGATTGTGGGCTGAATTTTTCATATTATCATTTAAGGCAATCTTTCCAGTGAGAACATAATTGACATCTTTACACAATTTGTGAAAAAGATTTTGGACTTTTGTTTAGTAAATAATTAAGCAGCCTTTCTTTATGTGAGCAAGACAGAAAATTTAAATCTTAATTAGTGTTTATTATCAATTTAATATACTGTGAAATGTAATTTTCTCAATGTAATTTCTCAAAAGAGTTCTCCAATGCATCCTAATTGAAGTTTTACAACAATAAATAACTTATATCCTTGGAATTTAAATATTTCAATAGTACTCGGAAACCTATAGTAATTTATTCCATAAATGGTGATGTGGCGTGGCAGTTAATGCTGCTCTATTAAGTTTTCCTTTTTGACCTTCATTGAAGCTGCCATTTACACTATCGCACAGGTCATCAAATAAAACTGACAAGTTATGGTTTCAATGCTCTCCTTAGGTAATTTTCCACATTCTGTAATGAAAAAAAAAATATAACTTAATTATTTTTTTATCAATAATACAATAATAACATATAGGGACATTCTTTACACATGGACATCTGATACCAAACTGAGCAGAGCTTTTACTAATGGTAAGTTGATTACTGACATACATGATTAAGTATAACATATACTGTTATAATACATACATGTATATATTTACAACCAATTCAGAAAAAGTAAACATTTTCAAGCACACAAATGTTTGTCCTGGGTGGGAATCTAAGTGACAAACAGCGGTGTAGTAGTCTGGGTCTCGTAAACCAACATGCCCGTCAATTATAATATTGTTTACTCAATCACACTACAACAGTATTATACCGTACATGAGATTCATTCAATTTGTAACATTAACATACAAGTTTGCATACCTGCTACGAATCCAAGCGCCACACCACGACTTACTCAAGACTCAAGACGCAGGTCTTGAGTATTGAGTAAGCTTGCGTGCTGTGTTTCACTTCACTCTCAGAAAATTAACGAACGGTATCACAATTTATAATAAAAATGTACAGTGTGCACGATTCGAAATATCAAAAAAATAACAGTGAATAACAATAATTGTCATTAATTTTTCAAGTGATGCTGCCATATCAAACAGAGCAACCACCCCGCATTTAAAACGTTTTATTTACAAAAGTTGCCTAAATTTGCTTTAAAATAAGAAATGAAGTGGATGAAAATAAATATTTATTTAAATATCTCTTTTTTTTGTTCTTTGTATCTCAAAAAACATTATTATATATTAATTTAATGTGTAAAATCTCCATAGGATTTATTACTATATTTTATAGTGGCAGCACTATGTATTTTAGTATTTCATTTGTCTTCCAGATGGCGATGTTCCGAAATTTTCTTGAAGTAGTTTTATGTTGCCATAGCATGGTTGCCATAGCTGCAAGTGGCTCAGGATCGTGTATCGGGGGAGGCCTATGTTCAGCTGTGGGCTCAAAACAGCTAATGATGATAATGATAAAACTATGGACGTGCGGCATCTCCAGAGATTTAACTGTCGTGAAGCTCCCTGCCAAAGCCCCGAGATGTAACCAACTCGCACCTAAAGCTTATAGCGGCTTTTGGCACTTTAAAACTTACTCGAAAACAAATACTATGTCGTGTATTTAAATTACACTAAGAGGGAAACAGGTACGTTAAATCGAGCTGATAAAAAATCTCTACTGTTAGTCCATTAAAATTTTATAATTAGTCTGTCTTATTGTTTGTTTGTTTTGCACTAAGTCAGTTAACCAATGTCAATGTCATTTTTGTAATACATTCACATTCACAATTGAATATTGAAGATTCATATTCATTATAACCTAATATAAAATGCTAGTATTTATCAAAATTTGGCTTTTTCGAAGCTCATTTACGATATGTTATGTAACGGAAGGCGTTTTTATGCTTCAAGATGAACAATGTTACAAAACAATAGGCGTAGAAGCCGGAGAATGTTACGATATTGATATCGGATGTATATTACCAAGAGCCAGAAAATTGAAATACACGACAAATGCTTTATTTTTACAAGCATTCGTCAAAGAATGTTTGTATTTTGATATTTATAGAGCTAACCTCGTAAGAAATTTAAATCAACTATGTAAATATCCACGTAATGGAACGGTGTTCCTAAAACTTATATTAGAACCGCCGGACAAGGAAATTATTGATTATGCTTGGTATGTTAATTTGAATCGCACTTTATTTCACAGTATTATACTCATATTAGTTAGATTATTAAGAAAATCATATTTTAAGTAACGAAAAAATCTAAAGAAGTTATTTTCAGGAATGAGAGAATGTTGTATTTGCTTTGGACTAGAATTGAAATAGAAAATGCTTTCTCATGGCTGTCAACACTTGGAGGAGCATATTCAGCTTTAGGGGATTACTTTGAGCATTGTGTAAGTTTTCAGGATTTATATTGTAGACATAAATGTAGATCTTTCTCCAATCATCATTTCTAAAGTAAATATACATGTTACCTAGCATATATATGTTACCTATGCTTGGCATGTGCTGGACTATTTCTTATGGCGTCTTTGGGATAAATGATGCCATGTGTCAGTTAGAGCGACACTAACTTCATGTTGTTCCTTAAAAGGTACATAAAAGTACATAATATAAACTTTTTTAAATATTTACTTTAAGTATCGAACCCCGAAAGCATAAGTTATACAGCATGTCACGTTTAAAACGTGTTACAGTTTTGTTTCTTTTTTACTTAATTAGTTTGATTGAAAAATATTTTTTTTTAAATGTATTTTTTTTGAAGTTATATTTTTTATGATTATTGGCAAGTAGCATTAAACGTGTGTTCATTTATTGTCGCGGTTGTAACGACACGCTGTATATTTACATTTTGATGAGTCACTAATACTGTATTGCTACCTCCTTTCGTTGTTATTTTTTGTGACTTTCATTTAAATGCCTCTGCTGGCACCAATGTAACTAACATGTGTTGCTTACTCACTGTGATAGTGTCATAGGTCCGTCATAATGTATAACTTAATTTTTTTCTAGGCAGAGGAAGCTGGCAAGATATCTATGAGACAGTACAAACTTTCAAGATTGCTTGGTGATGATGGCCTGGCTGCTCGTAGCAGATTGTATTCTGCTATAGCCCATGCACAGAAACAAAGATTGAAACTTGCCAGGCATATTGTTAGGAATATAGCTGCATTTGCTAGGAGGACACGCGATGTACGCTTAAACCGTATGTGCCAAGGTGTTTGGGCGAAGTTAAAGTATTTACGAACTCAAAAACCACAGCAGCTACCACATGGCAAAGAAAGTAGTGATAATGGGAAAAATGTTACAAATATGGGTGATGGAAGTGTAGAGGTTGCAAGAGTAATATGTGTGAAGTGAAATTAATTTTAATTCAAACACATGTCTAATGATAAAAATATTTAGGCCAAGTAAAAATATGACCTACCGTTTCCTTTAATAAATGTAATGTGAATATGAACTGTAATATTTTTTAATTTCTTGGGTTTTGTCAAAATACTTCTCATAGCCTATGGTAGTTTTATACGGGAGTTTCTTCTGTTGACCGAATGGGCAGGCTCCTCCGAGGAGTACCAAGAGCTCACGGAAGGTCGATGAAGTGGAAGTATTATGCTTCCGCATTTCGTCTAACGAGTGAGGTAACTGGGGCCCATTTTTTTAAAAGTTGTCAACACATCTATGAACCCTTGGGTGTTGCAGATGTCCATAGGCGTCGGTAATCACTTAAGAACAAGTGAAACTTTTCACATAAAAAAAGGTAAAGAATAATGTTTAACCCTACTAAGTAATTACAAAGTTATTACAAATTTTATTAATTGGAATTTTGACACATTTTTAATGGGAAGGATCCTTCATTCATTCCTTAAATGTAGATAGGATCTAATTCACTATAAACAACTTAGAAATAAATAAAACAACATTTAAAAATTACAATGAATCTGATGTTTTTATTGAAAACAAACCAACAAATGTATGAAAAAAAAACTGGCTATCAAAATTAACAATATATCGGTAACTATGAATGAACACAATAAACTAATGATAAGATAAAAAGCACCAGTTTACACTCAATAACTCTTACTTTAGTTATTAAAGTTTTATCCATGGGAGTAGAAATACATATTGAACAGGTGTTAGGCTTTAGCCTGCGCAATCTAATATAAAATAATGGTTTTTAGTTATGTACCTTTTTAAGTAATTAATATTTTACCACTAAAACATGTACTACACATATTTAATAAACTGACCTGTACCTATCAGAAGCTCTGAAGTTCATATGGCAAGATTAACTCTAGGAAAAATAAATTTGTATATATAATTCTTTACATTGTAAATTCAATAATTAAATTGACCCTTACAATAATGAAAATATAATTATACAATTATCTCAAAAAATGAAGAATAAATTTTTCTACATATAATATTGAAAGAGAAAACCGCATTCCTTTTTTTTTAATTTTGAGATTCAATGTGAAGTAACATTATACCCCGAGCTCCTGAAATGATGACATAAAACAAACACATACAATTTCTCTATTCCTTAGAACACACGGGACAGGCCAAAGTGCCCATTGGATCCCAAGCCGGCAATATTTTGGGTTGCTGCTTGAAAACTTCTAATACATGTTCTGGTACATATTTCTTGTCCACGACAATCTGAAAAATTTGGAAAATAAATTGTAAGAACATATACATTTTTAAGAGAATATTGTGCAAATAAGCAAGCTGTTCATTTGATGGTAAATGGTCACCACAGACACCAGTCATCCGTAACATTTAAAGGTATATGCTTAAGGTTCAATTGAAATTCAAAATTAAACAATACTTGGCGATAATATTTATATGGACGTCGACTTTTGGGACGAGACTAATGAAACCGATAAACCGAAACATAATCACCAGATTGTGTTTTTCCATGTGTAATATTTATCACTGAATCCATAATACATAATTCTACTTCATGTCGGTTTGCCATTAAGTTTTGTTATTTTTCTGCTAGAGTACATAGTCCATATAACGATATGCATGACGATAATTGCTGACAGCCCAGACAAACGCATAAGTATAATACTTTCACTTCGCGCCAGTCTTCTGTAGCCATAGATTACAAAAGCTTTTTATGATTTACAATATTAGTCACCTCAAATACAAACTCCCTAAACCAAGGAGCGGTGAGCAGCAGATACCCCTTGTCATACTCCTTCTCGCCGTAAGAGTTCTCCACGCGGAATTTTGTTGGGTTTCCTTTGTCCTGAAAAACGTTCAAGTCATGTATGAAGAGGGAAAAGAAAGAATTAGTTCAATAGAAAAGCCAACTTATGGAAGCGAGTGTTTTGTAAAGTTCACTCTGCAATCGCAATAATCCATCATTCTATAGTATTTTTTTTAAATTATTTATGAAAAATACTGCAGTTGAAAAACATGAAAGCTATATATTTTGATAATAAATATTTAATTATTTTTTAGTAATGAGTCAGTGGTGCTGTTGCTAAGCTATTATTACTTAGTCGAGGATCGTGGTTTCGATTCACAAACGCGGCAAGTTATTGTGTGTGACCGAAAATAATTAGATAATTGATGATATTCCGGGTATTTGTTTCCTGGAGGACTGACGTCAGTCAGGGTAGCCTACTACATTATGACACCTAGGCAGGTGTCATAATGGTACTCACCCCACCTAATGGAAAGAGAAAGAAGAATTCCTATATATATATATATATATATATATATATATATATATATTTCCTCTATATAGAGATTTTCTATAATTCAATATGTTATTCTATAATTCCTATATATAGAGATGAAATACGTACATCGGTTCCAACAGCTGTAAAGACCATGGCATGGGTCATGCACGAATCGCCATAAGACAGACGATCAGCCTTATTCATCCCAATCTGAACCTCCGTGTTGAATACAAGCTTGTAGTCTTGTCTGGTGAAAAATCAAATATTTTATCAATTAACACATACATGTACATCACATGTTCGAACACACTGAGTTGTACAAATATAAATGTTATCATACAAAATATGTAAAGGATTAATTTAAAAAGCTTTAATCTATATTTTTTTTTATGCGAAAATTTGTCAAACGAGCAGACTTTTCACTTAATGTTAAGTGAATACCGCCGCCCATGGACATCTGCTACACCCGGGGGTTGTAAATACGTTGACAACATTTTGAAAATTGGGCTCCCGCTAACTCACTCACCAGACGAAACGCGAAAGTACTATAATTCCACTTTACGCCGGTCTTCTGTGAGGTCGTGATACTTACCCGTACGAGCTTGCCGATTCGTGCAACAGCCGAGGCTGCTGCGTGGCCCTACCACCGTCTACAACCCTACGGGTGTTACAATTGTCCATGGGAGGCTGTTATCACCTATATCACTTAACATCGAGTGAGCTCAGTTGCGACCTTCTCACAAAGACACACCGTAGCGGCATGAGAAAGAAGCTTTGTGGTTGTGGCTATGACGTCAGACCGTGGGGTGACGTCACTACTCACGCGTCCAAATCCTCGAGGCCGTTTTTGCGCTCGAATCTCTTTGAGACCTCGCATCCGAACCACACCGCCTCACCACCCTCGATGCTGTCCTTCACCGCTCTGAAATCACAATTAACAACATCCATGAAACCGCCAGTTTTGGACAAGTCGAAACGAGTCTTACGCCCAGTTTCTTAAACACTGATCATCGTTAAGCTCAACTAATCAGCTGTCAAATGGCTAATCAAATGTTTGAGTTTCAATTCGAGTTGCCAAAAGGATCGTTGAACTCTTTGAATTGATCATTCTGATCAATTCAGAGAGTTTAACAATCCTTTTGGCAATTCAAATAACATTTGTTGGTAATGAGACGTTGTAGACGTATCGATTTATACTTCATTAGATTCAACTATTTTGGCGGACAAAAACAATTGAAAATTGGCGGGAAATTTTTTTTCTTTTTACTTTTATTTTTTAAAATATCATGTAACTAATAGTACCAAAGCCAGCCAGATAAAAACAGCACAAACAAAGAGATAGCCCTTACTGTAGGACGAAATTATCCTGTTGTGAGGCCATTTTACATACATTTGCAAATTTCACTCAGATTAGAGGCAAATATCTGTAGTCATACCACTTGTGGGAATCTAGCCCACGACTCTCAGTGCCGAAGCCAACAACTTGGCAACTGCTCCGTTTTTTTTTCTTTTATGTGAAAAGTTCTCAAACGAGCGGACGGTCCACCTGATGGTGAGTGAATACTGCCGCCCATGGACACCTGCTACACCCGAGGGTTACAGATGCGTTGACAACCTTTTGAAAATTGGGCTCCGGCTACCTCACTCACCAGACGAAACGCGAAAGTATTTGTCATACTTCCACTTTACGCTGGTCTTCTGTGAGGTCGTGGTACTTACCCGGACGGGCATGCCCGTTCGTGCAACAGCCGAGGCTGCTGCGTGGCCCTACCACCGTGAATGTAGTACTTACTTGATGAGGATTTCGATGGGCTGGTTGTTGTAGGCGGTCTGCCTGCCGCCTACCACGTTGCCGAGGCATTGCAGCGTGTACAGATGCCCGAACGGGTTCGATTCCCGCGGGTCACTCACCAGGCACACCTGTAATTTTTTTTAAATCGTTAATAAACTTCACCTCTTCACTCGAATGTATCAGGAAATTATTTTATGAGCAAATGCGTAATGCGTTTGAAATACGAATGGGAATGTCAATGTCAATGATGACCTCGAATGAGGTGAATGACCGCGCTCTGTGAAATGTCCTTCGAAAGGTATGGCGTGCAAAGGAAATTAACTTGCCCAGTTTTAATATTTAAAATTTTTATTAAAGTTATTATCAAATTCATTGAAGAACTTCAAACGAATCGAAAATGAATATTGACAAAGAGAAACATTTCAAGGCGACGATGACTTAAAATTTTAATTTTGATAAATTTAGTTAAATGAACAAAATCTTTCGGCGCTGCGGGCTTCTAATCTGCGTCTTCTGGTAACTCGCCAGACGCTATATTAATTCTTTTGTATGAAAAATGAAAAGTCAAATTCAAAATTTCTTTATTCAATATAGGCTTGTTTTAAGCTCTTATGGAATGTTTAAAATATACCACCGGTTCATTAATTTAGACCTGTCCAGAGAAGAACGAACGGAACTCCGTGGCCATTCCGGTTACCCCTTTTTTATATAATGATTTATACAAATTATTATTAATGATCAGCAGTTAATGTAATTGCAAGAGTCACTTCCACACATCCTTGGTCTCAATTTATTCCCGAACATTATAATAAACATTCTATTAGGGTAGCTTATACAAAATGTTTGAAATTGTTCACACTTAGTTGTTTGTGGAAGAAAGTAAATTCAACGAATGTCATCGGGTTACAATCAAAAGGTATGTATAAAAAAGGTAAAATGTAAAGGCGTAATTATCATGATGATGATGTGTACCGTCACATACCTTGTCATCAACGTTGAACAGAGGCCGGACATGTTTGTTGTAGAATTCCTGCGGCGTCAGCGGTCCCAAGGTGTTGTAAGCCTTGTCCTTATTATAGAACTCGTAGACAAACTTTTCCGGAGGGGTGCCTGGTGAGTTAAAAATGTATGTATAGATAAAAGATGGTATGTACACACACTCCGGATTCCAGACGACTTTTAACTGTGAATTTTTGCAGATAAATGAAAAAAAAAAAAAACTTTCGGCGTTGGGGGATTCAAACCCGCGTCTTCCAGTCTCGCGCCCAGACCAATGCTTGGTAATCAGTAATGCTTGACGCCATCCATGAATATGAAAGATTTTTGTTAATTTATCTTCAAAAGTTGACAATTTAAAGTTTCGTATTATGTGCAGAGACTAGTACTAAAGTTAAAAATTAATGCGAAGGAGACACTTCTTATTGTCAAGTCGATGCTTTCTAGTAATTTAGTTCAGCGCCATCTAGCGGATGGATCAGAACAACGTCGGACGGGTTAACCAGAAAACTTATGCGAATAAACCCGAATGCTGTTTCTCATGCCCCAGTAGTGGCAGTGTTATTGACAGCTTATTCTTTGGTGATTTTTTTAGCGGATCGTAGCAGTCGCAGGGAGACATCTGTGGTCAGCCGCTTGGTTGTAACGATATTTGTGACCTTGGCACACGATCTGACCATCATCCAAATGATCAGATCCAAGGACGAACGACTATCTTGGAATAGTCTGGCGAGACCTTACGCACCGTACTCGGCCGAAAGAAGCTTGTTGTGCTTGGCTACAGACAGTTACTCAAGTCAGCGCCAAACTGTAGAATGAAAACGCGCATACAAATAAATGTCTCATTGATTTCTTCAGTGAAAGCAACCGCTTGGAAGGTCGTCTACGATCCGAACGAATGGTATACGAGCTTGTCAGACAATCGATTGGCTGTCGCCATCTGACAAGCTCGTACACCACCAGTGCTAATGCAATCGCTACAGTACTCAACTTGGGTTATAACAGTGTTAGTGGTAAGCAACCATCGACAATTTAGACACACACATATATATGAATGGCGTTGCATTGCCCGCCGCAAATTACCCAGACAAGTGGCGACAATGTTGAAAATGATCGCGACCTGCGCTTTGATGGTGTTCTGAATCACGGGGTCCGGTGTCTTGGAGGCCACCAGCAGCCTTAGTTCCTTCGCGAACTCGCGCAGCTGGAAACCGATGAAAATGCATAGTACACTTGCGCTTACATAATGGGGGGGGGGGGGGGGTTTGAATATCATAAAAAAAAATTGAAAATATGTTTTACATAATTATTATAACATACAGGGAGGCTTTTCTAGGTGTATCCATTTTTTTTTATTAAATTCTATACTTAATGTTATATAAAAAATGATAAATATTTAAAATCACTCTACACTTACTTACATTATTATTTTACTCGGAAAGTGCGTGATTTATGGGCAGCTCATTTATTTTACGCGTGATCATTCATAACTAACACGCACACAAGTTCGTTTCAAAAGTATACGACGCATTTATGACTACCGCATTGTCAACAAGTTCTGTTTTGTAGGGAATAGAATGGAATTTTTTTTGAAAAAAAAAAAGTTGCTTTTATTTCAATAAACGATTATACCACCGAGTCTGAACCTCCTGTGTGAATTCGGGCACCTTTATAAAAGCCACCCTGTATATGGAAAATAACATTAGTGTATAATTTGATCAAACAGGGTGAAATGATGATGATGATGAAAAATTGTTAGAGCAAAGAGACTTTGTTTGTACGGACAATTATTGATTGTGCAAAATGAAATATATTTAGAAATTGATTTAATCAAAGTTCCTTTTTTAATAGGTCAGTTTTAGAAAATCTACCCAAGAACCGAAATGTGGAGACGTGTGTTCCTCATCACCCAGGTCCACCCAAAGATTGAAATCACGTTGATTGATTCAAATGCTAAAAAATGTAGATTAAAGACGTTAAGACTTTCGTCGGTGTGGCAATCAGCCGTTTAGCTTAGTAGCTAAAGCGTCAGGTCGCGAATGCCGAGGACGCGGGTTCGATTCCCGCAGCGGGAACAATCTTTTCATATTTATTTTACAACAAAAAATGTTCATGTGTCACAATCAATCATCACCTTGGTCTTGATGATGGCGTTCATGTGCATGCTGCGCCGGGAGCTGTATGACTCGGGGAAGCACTTCTTGGGGACCACGCCATACTTGTTCACCAGGTTCACGATCATGTCCCACTGGCCGCCATCGTTAGATGGGGTCCTGTCGGATGCAAATTGAAAATCGATCCCTCAGCTCACTCCGTGGCGCAGTTGCCGAGGCATCGGGTTCGGAGCCAGGGGTCGTGGGTTCGATCCCACACGGTAAAAGTTAGCTGCAATTAGCAATAAAATTCACGAATACACGTAAAGTAAAACAACAAAGTAAATGTTAAAATAAATTTAAAATACCCACATCCGAATAAGATAAATGTAAACTTCTATACAATTTTTAAATTCTCTATGTAAAGAAGCCAACTTCTAGTCGTAAACATTAAAACAAACACAAAAAAGTACAATTATTATTATATGGTTGACTTGTCAGAGTAAGTGTGTACTGTATGAGCAATAAAAACCTATATGATAATTTTTTTATCTCTCCTTTAGTTATTTACCAACAACATATTGCTATACTTATCTATATAAGTATAGCTAATATAATCTAATAATTCTATAATGATTGCGGTATACATGATCTTAACATAATAAAACAAGATTTTTAATAGCGATTTGCGTGTTGACTAAAGATTTATAAGTACTAACATATAACAAGGCTATTGTCAATATTTTGCGCTATTTATAATTTAAAATCTAATCTATCAACTCGCTGAAAATGTCGTGATGAGCAAAGGAATGAAGAATAAACATTAGTAAAGTATGGACATGGCGTCTGGAGCTTTTTTTTAAAACATTGTCCTTGCATTAGGATATATATGTACATTTATATGTATATAATATTTTATATATTATAATGTTTTCACTATCTCATCTGGCTCTATCGCACCTCCTTATTCTCTCTGTTTACTATTCAGTTGACTGGTAGAGAAAACCTAATGGTGTTAAGTCCGCCATTGTACATAAAGTTTTTAAATAAATAAATACATACATAAACGATGGGTCACACTAATATTTGTCTCGAGTGGGAATCGAACCCACTACCCCGGCGCCGAAGCCAATTCCTTGATAACTGAGCCGTGGAGTCATCAATTTCAAAGTGCGAAAAATAACCTCATAAGCTTAGTACATACCTTCAGGAGGAAATTAACCAGGCGTCCATCCAAGTCTTCACCCTGCTTCGCGGTCTGCACAATATTGTTCAGCCAGTAATGAGAGCGCTCAATCTTGTCCCAGAAAAATAGGTAGCTGCAGAAAAGATATGTGTTAAGGCACAAAAGGCCACTGTATAGTAGAGAGGTATATCCTTACTTAAAATATTAATATAATTGTTTAACCACAAAAACGTAACAGGTACGTAGTTTCATTTGTCAAATGCCAGTTAAAATTATAAATTCATCATCATCATCATTTCAGCCTGTTTGAGTCCACTGCTGAACATAGGCCTCCCCCACAGACTGCCATGAAGCACGATCCTGAGCCACCTTCCGTCCGTCGACTTCCCGCACATTTGCACAGGTCGTCACTCCATCTAGTGGGGGGTCGTCCCACACTGCGATGGCCAGTACGAGGCTGCCACTCGAGAACCTTTCTTCCGCAACGGTTATCGCTTCTACGAGCTATATGGCCGGCCCATCGCCACTTCAGCTTGCTAATCCTCTGAGCTATGTCGGTTATCTTAGTTCTACTGCGGATGTCTTCGTTACGAACTCTATCACGCAGAGAAATACCGAGCATAGCCCGCTCCATAGCTCGCTGAGCGACTTTGAGCTTCCTCATACGGCCAGCAGTGAAGGACCACGTCTCGGTTCCGTAGGTCATCACTGGCAACACACATTGATTGAAGACTTTAGTCTTCAAACATTGAGGTATATTCGACGAGAAGATTTGCCGAAGTTTCCCGAACGCTGCCCATCCGAGTTGGATTCGCCGATTGACCTCTGCGTCGAAGTTGGACTTACCTAGCCGAATTATAAATTAAAAGTACACAATTAAATTGGTTAGCTTTTAAATAATATCTATGCATCTATCTAACTATCCAGCAATCTATGCATAATTGTGTTTATTTTTTGTTGATAGCATGTGCAATTCCAATATAAGCAACTTCAACTTGTAAGTTTAGTAAAGACCACCTCTTTGATATCAATACTACATTGTGTAACTATGATAGAAGACTCGATGTAATACATCTTCTAGATCAAAACTCCAAAAAAAAAAGCTGGCTAATTTAAAAATATTAAAATATATTATTGATAAAATATAATAAAATGATATAAATAAAATATAACAATTGAATGAACAGATTGAAGGACAACAAGATCATACTTTTAAAGTATCCTTACTTATAATTTCAAGAAAAAAGGAATACTTATTGGTAGTTTAACACTTTAGTTAAAAAAAATCCAATGGGCCAGGACTTGAATAAAATTGCCTTGAAAACTATCAGTCTGACCTGACTTGACCTTTCGCTTAGGAATTCAAATGCGTTAATGATAATGTTCTGGATGTGGAATAGATATATAAAATAGTAATATAAGTTATTAACCAGACTTATTTAAACTGAGTAGTTGTGAAGTGGACATTCTATAGGATACAATCTCATAAAAGTATATATTACTAAATATATGGTTAAGTAATAACAATTCATTAAGTTGTTTCTTTTATTATTATCATATCAATGACCTTTTATTAACATTGCAAAGTTTTATATAATAACTAACAATTGTAATATATAAATAAATCTGTAAAGCCACACAAATATAAAATTATCATAAAATTATAATGTGAACAGTATGATAACTTAAAACCACATATTATTTCAATGATGACAATTAAATTCTAAACTAATAATGAAATAATGTATGAAGAAGAAATAGTTAAAACTCATGAATAACAATGTATAAATATAAAAATCTATTATAAAATTGATGAAAAGTAACAAACTTTTCATCAATTTTTCACTTACCCCTGTGAAAACTCGAACTCTTCAATGCCATACTTTTTCATGAACGGTAGTCGCATTACATTTAGTGCAGCAAACAGCCAGCACCTTCCAGTGTTCTCTTGGTTAGTCACCGGTTTACCTTCATTCTCCACCTTTTAGAATAAATAATAATGTTAGCAATTAAAACTAACTGTACTGTTTAATAAACTATTGCAATATTGTTTTGTGTAGATGTCAAAAATGAGAAAGTTTGTCTTTTTCACTTGACGTTAAACGATAATGCCGCGTTATGATTATCTACTACACCTTTGCAGCTACAGATGAATTGCCAACTTTAAAAATTGAATTAAAGATGTATGTGAAGAAATAAATGATTTTTTTTTAATCTGGTCCCCGGCTACCCACTTACCACATGACAATAGCATAGGGAGAAATGAGTGAACTTAGAAGTGCCTCTAGAACTAAGCAAATCAACATTGTGAGTGATATTCATCACATCAGTGTAAACAGTTGAAACTTAAAATCTCACCTTGATGTTGAATACATGTAGGACACCTTCTGCTTTCCTTCTTCTAATAGCCACTTCAAAAGGATCAAAGCGAGTGCAAGCGTTCTGAGCTAATTCATTCTTAGGCTCCGAATAGAATTTCTCTACTAATTTGGTTAGAGTTTCAAGGCTAAGTGGCTCTGAAAATAAAAGTAGTATTAATGAAAACAAATATAAAAGCATATCTTAATGAAATTGGGAATGAATGAAGAATGTCTGATAAAGAGAATTTACATTAGGTGAGTGGGCAAAAGTCAATAGAAGTTGTAATTAATTAATGTAAAACAACTGTGTACACGCATGCTGAGGTGGTGTAAAAATTTACTGCCATAGAAGTGTATGCATATAATTGTTAGGCCTCTTATGTTCAACAGCTATTAGATCATAGTACATGCAAATTGCAGATTATCATACAGATTGATAGACTTCATATATTTTCCTTCAATGGCAAGCAATGATTATTCAGCACTTAAAACAGCAATTTCAGAAGTACCATCACAGGGATTTGTATGCAGGCTTCTTATAGTACACTGATAAAGCATATAAATACCACAGCAATTATATCTATTCTTATGAAGGATATTTCAAATGAAAGCTTGCATTTTTTTAAATTTTGATTCATATTTTATAATCAACCAGTACCTGAGATATTTATAAAATGGAAACATTCCATAAACAGGAACATTATCTTTGAAAATATTTTCAGTCGTCATTCATTATCTTAACATTGAATGTCAAGTTAACACTCAGTTACTATTAATACATATTTGCTATCAGGGGATTTAAACAATGTACATTTTGTATATTTATCACAGACAATGAACCAACATGTACTTTTTCATTTAAATCTTATTTATTGTATACTAAAAAAACTGAACTATAAGGCGAGCATGCATTAATCAAGATATTATGTCTATTTCATAGAAAGCTAAAAAAAATAATCTATATGGAACTACCAACTGTATAAATCTAAAATAAATTTGAATATACCAACCACCCATGACTCTTTGTGCTCGATCTCCATAATTAAATGACTCCAGCTTTTATTATTTAAATTTTTATTCTATTACTGATAAGTCATGTGAAATAAACTCACTTGAGTGGAAGAACTCAATGCCCATGCAGAATTTATTAAGCTTTAAGTAAAATGACTTGTGTATAGGGATTAATTTATTCATTTATTTATGTGGGTCACCTGACATCATTTTCTAAAATTACTTTGACAATTTATTGTGGCTTTTAAATTTTTTTAAAAGAAGGAGATTGACAGTGGTTTACATATTTAACCTTTTTAAGTAGCAGAAGTATCAGAAATTTTATTTAATTTATTTCTTAATAATCTACAGAATAAATTATTGCCTAAATTAAACGAGTGGGACATAGTATGAAGATAAAAATAATATTACCTGCGGTCATTGTTGTTGAAGAGTGTCTTACGATGGGTTTAAAAATCATAAAATTCGAAAAAACTGATTTGGCAAGCATTTAAAAAATACCTAACTACCGTTAGATATTTTATTTTTTCCCTACCGTCACCAAAGACGATATCTGTATAATTAGTTTACCGCCACTACCGCCGTTTGGATCTTATCAACTTAATAACATTAACAACAAGTAGAGGCAAACAACAAACAAAGAAGCGACAATCGTAGTTTAGTGAATTGTGTCAAAGTCAAACAAATGCTTTGTCACTCTTTTGCTTTTGACATTGACAGTACTGACATGACTAAGTTTTTTTAAAGACTATACTTGGATACTGAAAATTTTAACACGGGGCTTGGAAGGCAATACAAAAAAAATCACCTTTTAAATTCGTTAACTAGATATAAAAATAGCGTATCATGTATCATACGCTTACAAAGCTTCTTGTTGTCTCTGACTCTATAAGTATGTATATAGAGGTCTCAAGGAAAATATCCCATAAATACTCGGTAGCTTGTAAATAATAAATATATGGTAAGGCGAAATGAAAATTATGAAAAAACACTGATCAACTGGTATTAATGTAATTGTTTGGACTTTACAAACTACTCGGAAGGACAAAATGACAGTTTGTATTTTAATCATTTTGGTTACAATATAAAGACTTCAATGAAAAATAAGTAATGATTTTTCATTTACTAAAAATACATAATTTAATTGGATTGTTATTGTATTCAAAAGTTGAAGTTTAATAAGCAAACATGTCAAAAAGTATTTAAATGATTATAAACACTATTTAGTGTTTATAATAATTTAAAAAAGTATTACCATCATAATTGAAAGATTAGTTTATAATAATGAAAAAACAATCCGTTTCATATATTTGAATCAATTAAAATAGTTTAAATGATTACGCGTTTAACTTTATTATTAAAATTGTTTCGGTACTACGTTTCGTATGGATTTTCTACAAAGAACAGGCTACATTGCTTGGTAGTTAAGAAAATCAATACTTTCACCCTCCGCCTAGTAGGTAACACTGCTGTGAAATACTCGTTACATATGTGTAGATATATATTCAGATTTCGTATTATGTTATTATGTCGTATATATAGTACATTTCTTTGCTGATTTTTAAGTTAACTCAATAAACCATTAAGAGTGCAGAAACCATATAATCAATATTGGACTATCATGTCATTAAAAGCATATGAAGACGCTTGTATTAGGGCAGAATTATTTGGACAACCTTTACCAAACAAGGAAGAATTTTTGGAAAAACATAAATATTTGGATGTTGTAGAGTTTGAGGAAGTGGACATTAGAACAGCTGAGGTACATAACTTCATTATGTTTTGTCGGTCATGAAAACTGTACTACTCACCGTAAAAATATAGTAAAAATTAGACTTAAATATATTATATTTAGACAAATATATATCTTATTCACATTTAATTTAGAACCTTTAGGACAGTCAATATTTTTAGATGTAATCATACATATTTTCCCTTTCTAGCTCTATATTGCCACGAAGAAATATACTTCATATAATTATAATAATTAGATAACGAAGTCATTGAACTTTCATTAAACATAGCAAAAACAATGTGGTTAAACTTTTGAATTAGTAAAAGTATCAATCATTTAATTATAAACCTCATGTATAGAACGTAAGCCATATAAGATATCTGATGAAAGCGATTCTATGAGTGATACGCTGGTTTTACGTATACATAAAAAAGGATTTTGGAGTATTTTTGTTACCGCTCACCTCCTTAGTAAAGCCCGGGATCACTTGATCCTTAATTTTTTCAGACTTGTCCGTTTTTCGTCGATAAGCTCAAAGTCGCAGGTCTTCATTTAGCACTTGATAGTTATTAGAGTATAACTAGATTTTAACCATAGTTCTGCCCTAATTGAAGTAATACCTGTTTTTGCTGAGAATGGAATTTAGATTTACGCCCGCACAGCTTTGACGATTTCTGGTGTCCAAACTTTGAAATTTTAGTTTAACTAAGGAATAAGACGCAACATAAATAATTATTATAAGATAAATTTAACACACATCGGGTTAAATTTATCTATGTAAAGCATCTAAGAGCCGTGATAACTCAGTGTCCGGGCGCTCGCCTTTAATTCAATATACTAGAGCAACCTGAATTCGATCCCCGGTGCCGGCACCAATGAAGTTTTTAACTTTAAGTGCTGACTTATCACGTACTCCGCGGTGAAGGAAAACATCGTGAGGCAACCTGCATATTTTCGAAATAATAACAAAAAAAATATATTTCGAAAATATGTGAAGTCCGCCAACCCGCAGTGGGGCCGCGTGGTGGACTATGCCCTGATACCCTCTGTATAGACGAGGCCTTTGCCCAGCAGTGGGACATGTATAGGCTGTTACTTTACTTAACTTTACTTTAAAGTATCTAAGGTTTTGTTATTTTTTTTACCATGTTAACATGATGAGGGTGACATAATCGCTAAAGATTAAACTCTTTCTTAAAATAAAAAAGAATAAAATCTTTCCAAAACTTCAGTGATGCAGCGCAATTAACGCAACTGTGTACTCCTTCCTTTCGCGTCCACTCACTTTTTTAAAAACGAAAAGATCAACATTTTCTTATTTATTTACAAAGTTGCCAATTAAAAATCAGTCTAAATATTTCTGGCCCATATTCCATTAAAGTTCCAGCCAAGATAAGATCGCGTACAGTAATCTAAAACTAATTTGTAATTTTATTGCAAATCCATTCTGTAAATAATTTTTTTTCTGATATTAATATTATTAACCTTTGCAAATAGACTTGGTAAGACTGTATAAACATAGTTTATTTATAAACTAAAAATAAATTTTTAAACTTGTTCGTCATTTACAGAACACAGCGATGTTGAACGACGATTTGAGAGAAGCTGGCAGTGGCTTAGCTGAATTAAACACAATTTTATCATCTACGCAAACAAAGCTCAACAGATTGAAGGTACTTTTTTATTTTTATGTGTAAAGAAAGTAGAAGGCAGTTCGCCCGATGTTAAGTGAATACCGCCATCCGTAGGGTTGCAGTTGAGTTGCCTTTAAACATTGGGCCCCAGTTACCTCATTCAGAAGACGAAATGAAAAAGTGCAAATACTATAAATTGATCTACGACGACTCCGGGTAGTTCTCCGTGATAGTGGGAACTGCTGCGTGAGTCTGCACTAATCGCTCTCCATTGCTATCTCATGTTTCAGGGAGTATGCGGTAGTCTGACGAACTTTTTTCGAGTTAAGCTCGCGTCCAAGGACAACCTGTCGTACTCGAGCGAGCCCAGTTACGTTGGTCAAACGAATTACGACAAAGATTATGTTCCGCCCAAGCACTCGGAAACGGGCACCGTCAACTCGGGTCTTGGGCCAAACGACGGCGAGTTCGCTGAACACAAGACCAGAGTGAAACGGAACGGCGGCGACATAAACTCCGCTATAGAAGACTTAAAAGCATTAGAGCGAAACGAGAAAACGCCCATTTTGAAGATCGATAAGCAGGTGACATCTCAAAATAGCAAGTTAGATAATCTGATAATGCAAGCGGAGAGGGCGCAGTCGTCGCTGCAGCATCAGAACAAACAAATGAGAAGTTTTCTACGTTAATTCTTCACGTATGATGATTTCAGTAACAAACATTTGAATTATCATAGAAAAATACTCAAAACTTTAAAATTTACAACGAAATTGTAACCTGTCGTTAAAGCATATAAGATATCAATAACTCTAATATAATGGAAAATGTGAACGAAAGCAAAAAAAAAATGATTATAAAGCAACGAATCCTTTTGAATTTCCAACAATGATTACCATTCCAAATTAGATAGCTTTTATAAAAGTTATTAGCTTTCGAGATAAATTTATTGTAATTTACATGTAAGAAGAGTTGGTGCTTTCGATTTTTCTTGTTAGTCCAAATGTAATTGAATACTATAACATTCGAAAATAATCTTGTGAGAATGCTATACATATACAGTGCGTCTACAATCGCGAAAATAAATAAATAATAAATTGTATTAAAGATTTACATTCTTTAAACATCAATATTTACCGAGTTATAAAATTTTCCAAATCAAAGAATTTTAGAACAACCTTACGGATAAAACTGTAATGTAAAGTTCATATGTAAAGGTCACAAAGCATATGAATGAGTAGAATGAATTTAAAAGAGACAAAACATACTGTTAGAAGGAGAGACTTGTCATGCGGCGCTGTGGCAAAGAATGAAAAAGTCTCTGAATGTATGTATCAGTCAGTGTTGTGATGTTACAAATTTTGTTTCTTTTTTAGTTAATTAGTTTATTTGAAAAATATTTTTTTTAAATTATGGATCTACGATCTTACGACGTTAGCCGTGTGTTCATTTATTGTCGCGGTGGTAAAGACACGCTGTGTAAGCAACAGTTATATTGTAATCACTAAGAATGTATAAGTTCGAAGAGTACGTATGAGCTAATAATTTCAGCCTTTGTCATGGATACTGATCATTTGTTTGGGAAGTCAACATTATGATCTTAAAGGTCACGGTCACAATAAATCTTCGAGTTCGCATTTATTATTATGGTATTATGAGAATTTATTTTATGTAGTCTCTTGGCTAAGAGTGTTACTTCTACCCACATAAGACAAGAAGGTCGCGAGTTGCAGTTAGAAATCATATACAGCGAAAGAGGTGCTTATTTAATCCCACACTTGACCACCACAAGTTTGGGACTGAATTAGAAAAAACACAAACGACAAAAGGGAGAAAGGTTTATTTTCCTTCAGACATTTATGATGTTAAGATGCTTATTTCGTCGATATGCTTGTTATATGTAACTTATTGTGTGAAAGAAGATCCAATTGTTCTGAGACGGTATATTCAGTATGTTAATGTTTTAGGCTCATTACGGAAAGAAATTATAATGACAATATCTCAATTTGTATAATAGTGGAAAGTTTGCCTTATATAAATCTATTGCACTATTATGTCCTTAGAAATATTTAGCTTTAATCCTTTCGGGAATATTATTGTGTGCAATAGTATTTATGATAACAATATGTAATGAATAATGCAATCCATTGTGATATAAACGGCTGTTTGTGTTTTGAACACGAAATCAATGTTCTTATATTTTTAATTCCGATGTTAAAAGAGGTTAAACGAATTAAATATAAGGATGTGTACAATGAATGTGGTTTTATTTCTTCAGGTCGTTAACAACACAAAATAGTAACGACGATAAGGAAACTTACATCTTCCTGGTCATTCCACAAACGACGAAGATCAAATGCTTCGGCATTGAAATGTCGCATTGTCAATGCCGAATAAAAACTGAACTGTCTCAAGCATGAAATCGAGTTATATAAGTATCTGATTATTGTACCATGACTTAACATTAGCGTTCAGTTCTCTAAACGTAACAATGCTACTTGTTTTAGTCGTTTGTCATCTCGTTGGTGCTATCATTGCCAATCCGCTCAACAAGTATCCTTTTGTTTTTCTATTGGACGTGGGTAATGAGGAGTTGGAGAAGACTAATACGGAACAAGTCCGCCTGTCTATCCCTGGCGGATCCTTGGCGGTGCGATATCCCGCTGTGGGGGAAGGAGATCTGATAACTCACGTGAGAGTTACCGGGATAGACTACGGCACGGACCTCAAGGCGAACATAGTTGACGGTGGTCCAGGATACAAGTACGTTGTCCTCGTGTTCTTTGGAAACACAGGAGTCCCTTACGAAACTGTACTAACGCTCCAAACTCAGTCGAACGCCAACATGGACTCCGAAAGCGTTTCTAACAAAATATCGGACAGTTCCTATCAGTCAAATAATCAAGTCGACGAGAATAACAGCGCAGAAGACACAGATGATAGTGCGGACACATCAAATAATATCAGTGAAGGTGAACTAGTGCAATCGAGTGACAACGTTTATAACTACGCACAAGCATCTGGGAATGATCATGATGATCCTGGCGAATCTGCGAATTTAAATGACAGCCATATCGATTCCGTTGAGGACGACGAAGATCCAGACGAAACAGGAGTAATGGAGAGTCCAAAAAATGACGAAGAAGAAGAATATCAATATAAGGCAGAAAAGTTACAAGCTAGATCTAACGAGGAATATGCTTATAACAGTAAATACGAAAACAACGCATTGGATGAAGATGAGTTAGGACAGGGGGTCCCATTGGACCAAGACGCTCGTATGTACAGACAAGAAATATTATATGACAATACGTATTCCGCTGAAGACCCTGTAGAACTGGATCAAATGTTTAATGACGAAGAAGTGCATAATGACGCTGATAAGTTCAGAGATTCGAACAATAACAACTTTGATTCCGACTACGATTCGGCTGTAGCATATTGATTAACTACTTTTTCTGTAGTTAAGATATTTATGTTAAAATAAACTTATTCTGTATGGTAATTAATATGATAAACGGAAAGTTTTATGTACATAATTTACTTTAGAACTTGATGAAGTTTAAAAATGTAAAATATTACCGTTAGTAAACCATTAGTAAGCTTATGTAAGTACTAGAATATGCTAGTTTGCCTTATTGATATATTGTAATAATATGAATTATTAAAATTTATTTCTTTAATTATTTATTATTATATACCTCTTTATAATCAATGAAATTAAAATTTTGATAGAAACAGAACAATATGCATGTCTTTTTTATTCCTGCTTGATAAATGACATGTATTATTGTTGGTAGGTAAATAATACTTAAATGACGTTTAGGTACTAATTACTTTGAATTCCGCTACAGCACTCACGGAAACGAAGGCGCAGTCTTGCATATATTAGTAAATATAAAAATTTTTGGAGCCCTTTTAGGACAAAAGGGTTCTATAAAAATGTAAAAACCCACGGAAGACGTGGATTGCGGGTAATAATATCATTAGTGAAAAAGGATATTTATTGATTTAGGCTGTTAGTGTATTAAAATATAATTAGACACTGACACTGATTCATAAATAAAAAAAATATGAGCCGTTTTGCTTAAGGTTTTGTCCGCAAAGACCCACTATATGGTCTATCTAAATTAAAATGCAGAAATACACCGCGTGCGTAAACGCGAAGAGATATATTCGATCGATGTCGATTCATAAACTGTTGCAATTGTTTTGGGGCAACATATCGTTGCGTCAGCACTTCTTTCAGTGGTTCCAATACTCCAACATTCGGTAACTATAACACGGATATTGAATACAGAATATTTGATAAGCGATTATCTTCAAAATTCGATTAAGTATAGAACGTATTTGAGATGCATGCCTGTTCTACAGAACTTATGGGGATTCAGTTGTGTCGTCATGACCCGAGTTTGCTCAGTATCTCTTTAGTGAGTGGTCTAAGGAAGTTCACAGCTTTAGGGATTTCTCATAACGAAGAATATCTCATATTTTAATAACTTGACTTAATAGGAGCTGTAATAACTGTGTGATCAGGCGCCCGCTTTTAATTCAATATATACGAGGAACACAAGTTCGGTCTGGTGCCGGCACCAATGAAGTTGTTAATTGTAAGTGCTTATTCAACACATGCTCGGCGGTGAAGGAAAACATCGTGAGGAAACCTGAGTATTTTCGAAATGATAACAAAAAAAATATTTCGAACATATGTGTAGCCCGCCAATCCGCAGTGGGGCCGCGTGGTGGACTATGCTCCGATACCCTCTGTGCAGACGAGGTCTTTGCCCAACAGTGGGTCATATATAGGCCTTAACTTAACTTACTTTATTTTAATATGTTCATTGAAAAGTTGCCAACAATAGCTGTCACCGCCTAAATCGTTGGGAACAAAAAGTTGTGACGTCATGTACCTATATCCTATCTTGTATTACGTATGCTTACTGACGAATAACACATTCGATGGCCATGGATCACACGATTTGCATGCTGGACTAGTAGCGTGCGGGAAATTGGCTTTTCCAAAGCTCTGCGCTTGATGAAGCTTTATGTTGGTCTGAAAACGCAAACATTTATCTATAGTACCTGGAGGACCGTTTTTTTTTGGTAAAGGTACTGAGTAATGAAATGTGCATAATATTTTTCGATCTTAACGACGTAATATTAAGAAAATATGAACTGATGTTTTTCACAAAAAAAAAAAAAAAAAAAAAAAACTTAAAAAAAAAGGGGAAAATATAACAAAATCATCTGGATCGACAATAAATAAAAAATAAAGAAAGCAATGATCTGGAATCACGAACCACGGCCTTCTGTTTAGGGGCCGCCCGATTACCGACCGAGCTATTATAACATTTTTTTTAGCCTTATTCAAAAAGCCATGGCGGCATCAACTTGCAAGATAAGAGACTACAACCTTAAAATGGCAATTAGGAACAGAGACGCAGCGGTCGCAGAGAGACTAGCAAAAAAAATAACACCTATTACCAAATAACCTGCGACGACGAGATTTCCGTCCCTTCTCCCTACAGCAAAAACTGTGCAGATCAAATATATATATATATATTAATTATTTTATGTATATGTATAATAATAATAAAAAATATATATATATAAATATGAACTCACTGCTGCACCGCTACCAGCCCGGTTGATGTACGCGGCGGTGACAGCCCAAAAAGAAAAATAAAAAAAAAAAAACATGTTAACCAAAAAAAAAGAGTACGGACCACGAGTCTGTAGTTACTTTGTTAAAATAAAAAAAAAATTAAAAAAATAGACATTTTTTTTACGTGAAATTTTCCGTCGTATTCGAATGATATTTTTCATTCCCTGAAAACTGGGATAAAACGACATTTTCTAAAAATGCAACCTAGCCAGATCGATTTTTCGCCCCCGAATCTACGCTCATACTAAGTTTCATGAAAATCGCAGGAGCCGTTTCCGAGATTCCGATTATATATATATATATATATATATATATATATATATATATATATATATATATATATATATATATATATATATATATAAGATATATTACATTGCAGCTTACTGCCTTCTAAAATCGAGATAGGAATTCTTTCTTTACCCTGATTTTTTTTTGATTCCCCTTCTTTAGGATAATGTTATCCTGTGTTGTAAGGACGTTTTACAAACATAAATTTCACGTGGACAAACACCCAGATGCGAAACAACTATATGTGGGTCACACAAATAGTTGTCTCATGTGGGAATCGAAGTCACGACTGACTGTCACGAATGAATCATGGTAATTAGACATGGAATTTCTGTTGCAGCTATGAAACTACAAATACTAGAAAACAGAATAAAAATATATTTAAATATATTTTTTTCTTGAATACACTACACAGGTGGTTCACATGATCTTAAGTTAAACCACCTGTCGGGTAGCAGATATGTTGCTATCATTTAATAAGTGGGCCCTAGCTACCTCACTCGCAAGACGAAACGCGAAAAAAAATACTTCCTCTTCACACCGGTCTTCTGTGAGGCCTGTGAGATAATACTTTACAATTTTTTTTTTAAAACATTGTCCTTACTTTAGGATAACATTATCCTGTGTTTTAAGGACGTTTTACATACATAAATTTCACGCGGACAAACACCCAGATGCGAAACAACTATCTGTGGGTCGCACAAATAGTTGTCCCGTGTGGGAATCGAACCCACGACCTCCGACGCCGAAGCCAATACCATGGCAACAGCGCTACGGAGTCATCTGAAATGATCCCGTCGATATGTGGCTCTGATAGAGTTAGATGATGATTTTGGGGAATTTATTTTAAATGCAGAGACTGCAATTTTTATAGCACAAGCGAACTAAAACTCGAGATGTCTAGTTTTCGAAGATTCATTTTAGTGTTTTTGCTGTAAAGGAAGCTAATTAGATGACGCTATACAATAAAAAAATAAAAACAAAGGTAGATAATACGTCGGCGTCTAAACCTGCTATTGACGAAAATTTATGTTTTATCTATACATTATATGTTTTAGTCGATGTTCTTATGACCATAGCCGTTTTACAGTGGATAGTTTACATATTTTAAAGTGTTTCTTCCTAATTGGAGAACCCGCAGCTAATTTAGAATAGTTTTTTAATAGCTATGCTAATAGAGCCATAACCAAGCCTGATTGAGCTAGACAACCCTTTTCCTGATTATACAGCCCATGTGTTTTCACCGACAATGTCTTTCTATATATTTTTATCTCTTATCACTACATAGTATAAAAAAAGTTGTCCCGCTGTGTGTCTGTTCCTATTTATGCTTAGATCATTGAAACTACGCAACGGATCTTGTTATGTTTATGTTTGCATAGTCGCAGTAATTTTCTGCCTTGTTTTGTATGTAGGCGTACACGTGCTGTCCTGTGGTGAATAAATTCATGTAAGATCAATTGGGGTTGTCTTATTCCACGTAAACATTATTTTGAACGTCTCAAGGATGGTCCCATTTCAAACGATTATCCAGGTTGGTGGTAACACAAGGAAAAAAAAAGCTTTGACACGCTTTGGCAATTTCCCGCCATTCCACGTGTCAGTATTACTTATAAATCAGTACTTACTTATAAATTAGTTTTTTGTTACTTTAATAATATAATTAGTTAATTATTCATATTTAATTAATAATTCAATATTTCCTGTTTATATCAGTAACATTTAAGTATTTTGTTTTATTTTTATAACAATTCTTAAATGATTATTGTCATACAACTATATTATTTTGGTACAGTTCCTAGGATAAATATTATAATTAAATCGGTTTCTTTTTGACAGAAAATGGGAACCGTTTTTAAAGTCGATAGAGTGGAATTGATTTTTCGTATAATCTTGTGTGATATTTTTAAATCAATAAATAACCATTAATTAAATTAAATTATATAACTGTTTCGTTTTGTAAGTATCATTTGTTTGACGGGTGTACTGTTACGTATGATCGCGTAGAACATTAACCGATTGTACGACAGTGAATATAGTCCTGGAACAATATAAAAGTCAAATCGACGAAACCGCTCGAAATCACACGATTACGTAACGCGTTCGCGGTGCGTAATTCGGTCGCGTAACGGACTCTTGAAATTCAGATTCATGTGTTTTCAGGCGAGCAACGGTGCCGAATAATCCCCGTTTACCAATGCGAATAGAGTTCGGTCGGTTTGCGAGCTACATATTGATAAGGGGACACTTATTTAATCGAGACATCTTAATACATAATAATACATCCTCACACATTGCTTTATTCGTGTATTTTTTTTAATCATTCGTGTTATATCAGTATTCCGAGTGTACTCGTATTAATTCATTGTTATTCAAATGAATAAGTTATTTATGGTGAATTCACGAATACATAGGTATTGTATATCTTTTGGAATTCTGAACTTTATAACATATCTTACCTGTTTTAAACCGACTTCAAAAAAGGA